TAACACCCTAACACCCTAACACCCTAACACCCTAACACCCTAACACCCTAACACCCTAACACCCTAACACCCTAACACCCTAACACCCTAACACCCTAACACCCTAACACCCTAACACCCTAACACCCTAACACCCTAACACCCTAACACCCCTAACACCCTAACACCCTAACACCCTAACACTACCCTAACACCCTAACACCCTAACACCCTAACACCCTAAACACCCTAACACCCTAACACCCTAACACCCTAACACCCTAACACCCTAACACCCTAACCCTAACACCCTAACACCCTAACACCCTAACACCCTACCCTAACACCCTAACACCCTAACACCCTAACACCCTAACACCCTAACACCCTAACACCCTAACACCCTAACACCCTAACACCCTAACACCCTAACACCCTAACACCCTAACACCCTAACACCCTAACACCCTAACACCCTAACACCCTAACACCCTAACACCCTAACACCCTAACACCCTAACACCTAACACCCTAACACCCTAACACCCTAACACCCTAACACCCTAACACCCTAACACCCTAACACCCTAACACCCTAACACCCTAACACCCTAACACCCTAACACCCTAACACCCTAACACCCTAACACCCTAACACCCTAACACCCTAACACCCTAACACCCTAACACCCTAACACCCTAACACCCTAACACCCTAACACCCTAACACCCTAACACCCTAACACCCTAACACCCTAACACCCTAACACCCTAACACCCTAACACCCTAACACCCTAACACCCTAACACCCTAACACCCTAACACCCTAACACCCTAACACCCTAACACCCTAACACCCTAACACCCTAACACCCTAACACCCTAACACCCTAACACCCTAACACCCTAACACCCTAACACCCTAACACCCTAACACCCTAACACCCTAACACCCTAACACCCTAACACCCTAACACCCTAACACCCTAACACCCTAACACCCTAACACCCTAACACCCTAACACCCTAACACCCTAACACCCTAACACCCTAACACCCTAACACCCTAACACCCTAACACCCTAACACCCTAACACCCTAACACCCTAACACCCTAACACCCTAACACCCTAACACCCTAACACCCTAACACCCTAACACCCTAACACCCTAACACCCTAACACCCTAACACCCTAACACCCTAACACCCTAACACCCTAACACCCTAACACCCTAACACCCTAACACCCTAACACCCTAACACCCTAACACCCCTAACACCCTAACACCCTAACACCCTAACACCCTAACACCCTAACACCCTAACACCCTAACACCCTAACACCCTAACACCCTAACACCCTAACACCCTAACACCCTAACACCCTAACACCCTAACACCCCTAACACCCTAACACCCTAACACCCTAACACCCTAACACCCTAACACCCTAACACCCTAACACCCTAACACCCTAACACCCTAACACCCTAACACCCTAACACCCTAACACCCTAACACCCTAACACCCTAACACCCTAACACCCTAACACCCTAACACCCTAACACCCTAACACCCTAACACCCTAACACCCTAACACACCCTAACACCCTAACACCCTAACACCCTAACACCCTAACACCCTAACACCCTAACACCCTAACACCCTAACACCCTAACACCCTAACACCCTAACACCCTAACACCCTAACACCCTAACACCCTAACACCCTAACACCCTAACACCCTAACACCCTAACACCCTAACACCCTAACACCCTAACACCCTAACACCCTAACACCCTAACACCCTAACACCCTAACACCCTAACACCCTAACACCCTAACACCCTAACACCCTAACACCCTAACACCCTAACACCCTAACACCCTAACACCCTAACACCCTAACACCCTAACACCCTAACACCCTAACACCCTAACACCCTAACACCCTAACACCCTAACACCCTAACACCCTCGATTATTTTACTCGTTTTTCAAATAAGTGATATGTTTGGCACTGTATCTTAAGACCTCTTACTAAACATTTTAATATAATAAGTAAAATTCTACAGCTTTACTAGAATTTCTTACTAGTATCACTAGCAACACTAGCAACACTAGCAACACTAGCAACACTAGCACCACTAGCAACACTATCACCATTAACACCACTAGCAACACTAGCAACACAATAGCAGCACTAGCCACACCAACAAAGTAGTGTTAGAATTTACCAAAAAGAGTAGAAAGAAGAAAATAGTATTTAAATTTCATATGAAACATATTTTAGATTTATAGAGATCTAACATTACATAAACTCATTTTTGTTGATTGTTTTAACACGTTTTACACCTGTTTCGTTTATTTAAGTTGATTTTCTTTTCAAATTATCAGATTCCATAAGTGCTTTGATTTCCGCATAGTTCAGATTGTAATTTTGAGGTAAGAGCCATCTTTTAAAGTTTATTGATATTACGCATAAAATACGTCTATACCTGCAAAAACTGTGGGATTGCGTGATGTAATGTCAAGCAGCTTCTCTGTGAGCTCTTCTCCTGATGGAGCACGAAAAGAAAATCCCGCACTTTTGTAAAGCTTCTCAATATAGTCAGCCATTTTAAATTATATTGTATTAAGTATATGGCTAAATGCGCTGTTTATTTTCTAATCTATTATATTATTATTTTGGCACACAAAATAGTGTCAGTATTAAATGTCACAAAAGATTGTTGCTAGTGTTGCTAGTGGTGTTAATGGTGATAGTGTTGCTAGTGGTGTTAGTGCTGATAGTGTTGCTAGTGTTGCTAGTGATACTAGTATCACTAAACGCAATAATCTAGCAGATATTTGTATCTATTACGAAAATGCTGTTTTTTGCTTTGGAGGAAGCAATGGAAATGCTTTAACTCTATAAGAGAAATTTTATTTAGATTCGAGTTCAAACAGATGAGGGAAATTAAAACCACTGCCAAAAGCTGATTACTGTTGCAGCAGTGTATATTCTAACATGTATATTGTGATTTCTGGATATCTAAATAAAAATCTTTTCAGGTATGCAGTTTATGGACCAGAAGTCTTCTGAATAGTTCCTTATGATTTTCAAGCTAACAGACACAAAATTCTTATAAGTGCAGATAGACTGTATTTAATTGAATGTGGCGGATCAATCTATGAAAGCGATATGTCAAATTGGAAGCTCAATAGTAAATGAGAGATTTGATCAAGTTTATTTGTCATATAATAAAGGAGGAATAAACATTGCACATCAAAATGGTCAATCTAATAGTTATTTCAAGTTTGATTTACAATCAAAAATATTAACTAGACTAAGATAGAATAATTTGGGAATAAATAAGTCTCATTTAATAATATTTTGCTATTAACCCTTTAAATATTTTTATTGATAAATCTGATTCATATACAATGCACTTATTTAGCATCTTATCGACTAAGAAAAGCAAAAATATATATATATTCATTGTCTGTGCTTGATTATTTTACTCGTTTTTCAAATAAGTGATATATTTGGCACTGTATCTTAAGACCTCTTACTAAACATTGTGATATAATAAGTAAAATTCTACAGCTTTATTAGAATTTCTTATCTTAATTTTCATTTTATCCCATTGCATGCTCAAAAGTCCATTTTCTTGCTTTGCTATTAAATTTTTCTCCATTCTCCAAGCACAATTCTATGGCAGGTCCTATATATCCTGCTCTTGGTGCAGGATCATTTAATAATCCTACCACATACGAAATGATGTTTCTAGCAGGGACTTTTGGGTTTCAGATTAAGGCAATTGTGAAGCTCCCGCATCACCTCGCCAGCAGAGAGTTCTTCCATTCTCTTCGTCTTTAGTCATCTTCCCGATCTCCATTTAGATCCGACGGTCAACCCAACGATAAATGTAGGACCTCTCGGGCTTCATCGTTGTGCTGAATGCATAGCTAGGTCACATGTAGTTTATCAATCAAGCCACATTCTAGAAAACTCGAAAAATCTAATTTTCTGGTCTTGCTGCTAGACTTCGTAGGACTCAATACCTGGCATCAAGCTAGAAAATTACCCGATTAGTAAAAAACAATGTTGGGTTTCCTTTTCCATTTGCGAAGGAATAACTTCCTATAAAGTAAAAAATAGTCTGGATTTGAGCATGCAGCGGACTAGCCCAAAACTATACTCCACCAGCCCGCTGCTATCCCTTCTAAAAGGTTTTGGGTCGCTTGGCTACATACCAGATTGGATCGCCACTCATTTTAATGTATTTTTGGGTTTCAGGCATTTGAAAAGATTCTCAGCAAACATGTTCATCAGATCTATATTTGGATGAAATTTTGGGAAATATAATTTCGAACTCGAATAATCCACCTTCGTATGGAGTCCATCTGGGCCGTTAAGTGTTCCTTTTCAGTTGTAAAAAGAGTGATTTGCTATGCTTATAGTGACATAAGGTTCTGGTCTGTCTTGGAGATTGATAAACTCGTCCATAAGTCGTTGCATTTGATTTCTATAAATTTTAATAATGGAGCTAGACTTCAATCGATATTTATATGCTAAACCTCGTGCATGAGTATTTATTTTTCTAATTCGCAAAACGTGGTATATTATTAATTTGAGCTAAAATATCTTTTATTTTAGAAATAAAAGAAAATTTACATTATCTGATACAATTTATTTATGAATTTTTTAGGTCCTTGGCTTATTTAATAAATAAAAAAATAAATAGCTATTTCCTGCATCATAGCTATAGAAATTGCCCGAGGATGGCGCTATTTTGCGCCATCCTCGGGCAATTTCTATATCACTTACTGATGAGTCGTTATATAATCTCCAGACATTCCCATCTTCGTCTCATTCACTGAATTAAGCAATTATAATCCCTAAAATGATAATTTCTAAAAAAGCCACTGGCAAACCTCATTACTGCATCATATTTGTTCAAAATTAACCAAATACAATATATAAGCTGCATAATGCCCAATATTTTCAGAACCATAGTAGCATATAACACCATAGAGACTGAATTCATAGTCTTCTACCTCACTTTTAGCATTAGAAAACTTTGCATTAGCCGGTAGATAAAAAATTAGCATTTCAGAGCATACAATTTTTTTAATCGTGATCTCATATCCCTCGGAGAATCACAAAATTGGCAGTAAATCACTTGAACTCAACATTGTTTAATAGCCAGATCAACTTCATTCATGCTTATTTTCCAATATCTGCTCAAGACTTCTTCAAATTTCTTGCCATAGGCGCAGTTCGATCAGCCTTAGATTTTGTTTTAACTTTTTTTCTTCCCTCATCGCAAAAAGCGTTGTTTATGCTGCCTTATTTGCAAGGACTTGAACTACTTAATCGGTTTAATTAATTTTATTAAAGTTAAATAAAAGCATTGATCGAATCAAATAGAGTAAAAATATTTATGAAATCTCCATACAAAATAATTAGTCTAAACGCCTCCTTACTCTCTACAATAAAGTCATTTTTAGCATTGTGGATAAATGCTCACCAGATAAGCAATCCCATAATAATAAATATAGAAAAGTTCTTGGAGAGAGCTATTCCAATAAACTATTTTATATTATGTTTTATACAAAGCAGCTTAACAGATTATATATCTGCTTTATACCCTAAAAATTGATTATTTTCATACAAAGATTCTTAAATTAAATGCAAGAAGGCGAACTTAACTATTTCTTACGCTTATTACTTGAAATTATGAAACTAAACTCTTCAGCTCTTTTAATATCATCAGTTGTCCAAGTCGGATATTCTTTATATAGAAAAATATTTTTTTCTCCCAAATTCTTTTTCCTTAATTTTGCAATAAATTTTGTGGCGTGGTAGGTAGCCTCATTATCGAAATCAACTGCAAGCATAAGCTGGGTCATATGCTGTGGCTCCATGTTAGCGTGATAAGGAGAGTATGTTTTGATTATCTTGTAGATCTCACTCCCCTCTTTTTTAAATTGGAACAAAATTTGTTTTTAATAGGAAAATTTTATCTATAAATGTACGAATTTTTATAAAATTAGTTTTTACCTAATTTAATAGAATAATTCAAGTAGAATGCTATTTAAAAGTTCTCACACTGAATCGATTAATTTTTATTAATTCTTCATAAAATAAATTAAAATTATATTACTTAAAAATTATAATTTTTTTGTTTTAAAATCATGAAAATGTTATTTTTATAAGATTAATTTTGATCTATTTTAATGGAAAAGTGCTTTTAAATCTTCCAGAGTAAATCAATTAATTTTTTTAATTATTTCTTCATAAAAATGAAAATGAATTAAAATTCAAATTGTATTTTTTTAAGATTTAAAAATTTTAAAAAATGTTATTTTAAGGGGGAAATTTAATTATAATTTTTATTTAAATATAATTTTTTTTTTAAAATAATTATCCCTTTTATATTGCTGTTCTAATTAAAGGGGGAAGTCAGGATCATCTAAAGATCCAAACTCCGACAGATCTCTCTTAATTCTCAGATAAGAAATCACATCAAGAATCGGATTCTAAATAGAAATTACCTTTAAAACTGCTGAAGTAAATATTTTTGGCTCTTTCATTATTGCTGAAGCTACTGTGAGTCCTCCACTGCTTCCTTCTCCATATGCATGCAATTTTCCAGCGATTTTTTCGCTTACCATGCTAACTCCAATATCTAAAAAGTCTTGTATATGCCTCAGCTTATTAGCTTGAATTCCTTTCTGATACCAGCTATAATTAATATCATATGATCCCCTTATATGTGGAATCGCCCACAAATAGCCCCTATCTAGCATGCTTAGCCAAGTGTAATCCAGCATAAACTGATGTGTGTTCTTTGTTTCCCCTCCAAAAGTATGCAAAATTACATTCGCTTCCATGCCACTTTTTGCATATTTTTTATTATAAACCAGGGTAACTGGTATAAGTTGCTTATCAGTTGCAGGCAGAACAATCCTTTCTGATGAATAATCTTCAAGCCGGACATTAGTTATGTGCTGCTCAAGGTCAATTAGTTCATTTACTTTTGAGTTGAGGTTGTATTTGATTATTTTATTAGGAGAATGAAGAGTTGACAGTTTATAATTGAAAAAATGCGAAAGATAGTCTTGCTTTTCAGGCATCACATGGATCCTGTATGATTTATTATTTGCAATTTTCAGTTGGCCTTCATAAGTATCATAAGCTACTATATCTGTTGTCCCAGAAAGGAGATTTTGAGCCTCAATGTACTGCAAAGAGGTTTCTGTATCAGTCAGTACTTGAACTGAGTGTTCTTTATAAGTCTCTAAATAGTCAATAGAAATATTATTTCGATGCTCTATATGCGTTTTTGCACCTATAAAGCTCCCAATAAGCTCTTTGGATTCTGAAATCAATAAAGGTTCCTGTGGTGGATTAAAAGAATGATATGGAGGAATAGATGCCTTCAGCACTTTTCTATTTGGCTCATCTAGAGATGTTACTAAAATAAAGAAATTTTCGCCTTGATGCCTTACTTCATAGAACACTCCTTCTTTTCTCTCTTGGATTATTAAAAATTCTAAATCGCCTCTGTTGCTTGGCCTAAATCGAATTTCGTTGGAAATAAGCTTCAAGTCATTTTGCATATTGCTGGTTTTTACCAAAATATATTCTGCACTTAAAGTATCACATACTTCAACGTTGAAGCTGGGATCTTTTTCTTCATAGATAAGCTCAGATTTAACAAGAAAAGTTTTGCCTATTTTTAGCTGAGCTTCTCTCAGTATCTGTTCTTCTTTTGATAACTCAGGGTTCAGATCTGCCCTAAAACACTTTTTCCCTTTATTAGTATCATTATCTTTTTCAATATAATAAAGTCCATACAGTTTATCAAAAATGCAAAATTCATCGACGCCCTCAACAAAAAATCCAGTCATAGCCTTATTCACCATATCTTTTACAATGATTCCAACCTTTTCCTCTACTTGTATTGAAAAGGCAATCATTCTGGGGTTAGCAGGAAAAGTTACAGATAGGCTTTTTCCTGCTGTCTTTTTACCGTCAAAAATTACAGAGGATTTTTCCTATTTTTTTTCCATCATTTTTGATGGTAAATGTCAGCAGGTAAAAACCTACTGGGTTTTTACCACTCAGCCCAATCATTCTATGATCATGTGAGAATTGAGTGTTTACTATTGGAAAAGAAATTTCTTTAAGCATTCTCTGAAACTTTTCATTGAATTTTAGAATTGGGTGGTTTTTCATTTCCTCATAGCTTAAAACGACCTCAACGGTATCCCCAAATTTCCTTACCAAGCAGTTGTTTTCAAAAGTATAGAGATATCTAAATGTAAATTACACCCTTTTTGTTCGACCACCTGGAAGATGGTCTTTGGAGCTCTTTCCCTAAACTCTCTCACGAGGTCATTTATGGTATAGAAGTCTTTGGCTGTGAATGACTCTGTGTATATGGTTTCATCTTTAATGTAGTCTTCTCACTGCTGGTAATTATTGTCATCTTGCATTCATGAGTACTCATCAATAAATCTATCTCCTTTGATATTTATTTCAGCTTCTTTGATATCGGCGACAGGTGGTTCAAGCTGATAGCCAAGTGATTTAAAGATTGATAGGGGATTTCGGAATTTTGGGAATGTTCCTTTTGATTTTTGAAGCTCCTCATAAAAATTTCGCTCTGCCTCTAGCTTTTCTTCCTTTGACAGTTTGCGGAAGTTTTCACCTCTTCCTTGTATATAAATGTTCCTTAATCCCACTGTGAGTAAACAAAAATATTGTGTTAGCTCGTGAGAAATTTTTTTTTAAAATTTATCTTAATTTTTCTTTTCGAAATTAAATTATGGTTTAATGCAAGCTGTTTGAATTAAACAGAATTGGATAGAGATTTCCTTATATTAATTATTACTTATACAGTTAATATTTTTTCATATATTAAAATTTTTTGATCGCTCACGGAGGGTTTATAGCCAAAAGGTAGGGATTTTTCAGTGGTTTTTTTGGCTTACGAAGGGGGGAATTAGGAGCCTCTTTGAGAGCATTTAAACAACCTTTAAATATGTCGGCCTAATCATATTTATCAAATGCATAAAATCTAGGATAAATTTCAGATACCCTATACAATAGTAATCCTCATTTAAACTTTGTTATTAATGAATAATTTGCTTTAATTATATTGCTCAATTTATTTAAAGATAAGAAAAGCTATATTAAGTATCTTAATAATCATTTACTCTCAGTTTAGCAAGGTATTTTTTCAAATCAAAATAATCTTTATGAATCTATTAAGCCTATTTATTGCTATTTTCGCTGTGAGTTAATGTTCAATAGTTGCAGAAGATATTTTCAATTTTGTTGAAAAGCCAACTCAAAATTCAATAACTAGTTCATAAACTTTCACTACATTAATTATCTAGATTAATTTATTGCTTTGGAGAACAGCTTTACAGAGATCAAAAACAGCTTATAGAGTACATATGCTGAAATTTCAATTAAAACTCTGGTTTTATCAATTTCCATATAAACCAATTCATTTTAATATAAAAAATTAAATGTCGAGCTCTAGTAAAAAAACAAGAGGAAGTATAGCCTGAGCCTCCTTTTGGTTCGAACTGTTCCGGCGTCAATCGAAAAGTGGTTCTACCAACATTTGCTGGTAAGACCTATCCCAAGATAGCAAGTCTCTAATAAGAAACGGATTTACCATTAGAACAGTTGGTTCAATCAAAAACTTTGGTAAGCCAACTCCCCGATTAACTTCGGGAGACTTCGAGATAGTCGATCCAAAAGGAGGCTCAGGCAATATCTACCATCGACTCTATAAAAATACGAAGCAAGCCCTTTCAAGATCCTTGTCTTCTTCAGAGTCTGGAAGTTTCAAAAAAACTACTAGCACCAATTCTACCCCAAAATTAAAAACTGACTTTTATGCGAAAGGTCTGAAATTCAAGCAGGAAACTATGAAAATCATCGAAATCGAGCGTAAGAAAATCGAGGACGAGAGGAAAAAAAACGAAACTTTCCGCCCAACCATCGACAAAGCTTCCAAGCAGATGCTGCGGAGACCAAACTTAAAAGCTGAAGACCTGCTTATAGAAGCTGGAAAAACATATAAAAGCCATATAAGCGAATTAAAAGAAGCAAAACAAAATGCTGAGCTCAGCGAATGCTCATTCAAGCCTACAATAAGCGGATCAAGGACTTCTAGAAGCCGATCTTCAAGCAGAGACGTGTACTCTGACCTATATAACGATGCTGGAGAAAGAAGGTCTAGAAACAGCTCATTGTCTGAACAAAGCACTAGCCAATGCTCCTTTAGGCCTAGAATTCAAAGTCATATCAGGAACTCGTCTGAATCAAAGGAAGCTATCTTTGAAAGACTTTATAACTCCAAAAAAAAGTTTTATGAAGACATGAAAGCGCGGAAAAAACAATTAGAATCTCTAGAAGCGTCAGTTGACCAAACAAATGGGCAGGAACTGTTTCATCCTACTATTAATAATGGATCTAGGACGAGCAGGTCTAGAAATGGGTCTATTTGGGACTATCTTTATTCACTGAAAGATAACCAAACTGCAAAACAGCAGGAAAATTTAGAAAAAACCCAGAAATTCTGGGAAGCAAGCAGCACTGCCAAAAAAGTATGTGAGGAGTCTCAAAAAATCTTTACTCCCCCCCCCCCCCCCTCCGTGAGCGAACAAAACCATTAGAAAAATCGCCATTTTTTGACCAAAAAACCCACCCTCCGTGAGTGAACAAAAAATTTTTTTAATAGAAAAAATTTTAATGGAAAAAAATTTTGATATATAAGTGATAATTAGTATAATGAAATCTAGAGCTAATTCTGTTTAATTTTAAACAAATTGCGTTTTAAAACATAAATTTTTGCAAATTAAATTAATATTTGCTTCCCAATTTTTGCAAATTAGGATTTTTTTAAATTTCGAAAAAAATATTTTTTATAACATTTATATATAAATTTTTTTAAAAAAAAAAAAATTAACCCCCCCTCCGTGAGCGAACAAAATTTTTTTGTTCGCTCACGGAGGGGGGGGGGGAGTTAGTTAGGAATTTCCAGAGGAAGCAGCTTGAGCAGCTATTTAAGTCTTTAGACTATGATAGTGATGGGTTGATATCGTCTAACTCAATAAAAATCGAGCACTTAGACGTAAAAAGTATTGTGATTTTGACTCCATATTTGAACTTTCTCGAAGAGAGCAAAGAAGAAAATGACTTTGATAGGTTTATGGAGCATATGGGAGAATTGATGCAGTCACTGAATGTAGAAGACAAAGCCCATCTACTAACTTCCCACTTTGAATAAAAAATTTTTAATATAAAAATTGTATATTAAAAAATATTTTGATATATAAGTGATGGTTATTATAATGAAATTTCTAGCTAATTCTGTTCGTTTTAAACAGCTTGCATTCTAAAATATATAAATTTTAAAAAACAAATTAACCCCACATCATGAGAGAACAAATTTTTTGTTTGCTTACAGAGTAAAGAAAGAGGCCAAGCCTGTTGTGGAAGAAAAAATTGTGCTAATTAATCCAAGATCAGCAAAATTAGCAGAAAAAAGGAGATCCTCAATGCCACAAGATGTATATGAAAGACTCATGTGGACTGCTCAATTAAAAGAACTAAAAGCAAGCAAGCTAAAATTGATGAGGGAACAAGCAGAATTAGAAGGCTGCACTTTTCAGCCATCCTCAGGGAGAAAAAGAAAAAAATAAGGTTAATTACAGTTAATTTAAGATTTCTATTGATTTTACATGATTATATAAATTCACAGAAAATAAATAGGGCTAATGAAAGGTAATTACCACATAGACAAGCAAAACAACAAGAAGAAAAAACCCCACCCTACCATGAAAAACAACAAATACAAAGCAATCCCAGTCTGCAAGCTTAAAAAAACCCCTGATCTCCCAAGAGTTGGCGAATTCAAAAAGAAGCTGCTTGAAGAGCTCAAAAGAAAAAAGCCGACTGAAGAGAGAGAAAGACAAATCCAGGCTTTATCCAGCAGCCAAGAAGCATCAAGACACCAAAGCTTACTTGACAAAGTGATCGAGGCTCAATCAAAAGCCCAGCTTTATACCAGCAAAGAAGAGGAAGAAGAGGTCAAGACCTACACAGACCACTCCATGAAATCCTACCACAAAGACATCACCCAAGTCATTGAATCCTCTGATATTATCCTTGAAGTCTTAGACGCCCGAGACCCACTTGGCTGTCGAAGCATAGAGCTTGAGAATAAGGTCCTGTCTTTCGGGCACAAGAAAATTATCATAGTGCTCAATAAAATCGATCTTGTCCCTGGAGACGTAGCTTTGGGCTGGTATAATCATTTAAGCCAATATCTGCCAGTTGTGCTTTTTAGATGCAATACACAAAATCAGCAAAAAGGTTTGAGTTCGTCAAATTTACACAGAAAAAACGTAAACACAGAGCTAGCCAATGATATTCTTGACTCAAAAAAGACTGTGGGCTCTGAAGCTTTGATGGGATTGATTAAAAACTATATGAGAAGCGGAAATGTTATGACAGCAGTCACCATTGGAGTGGCTGGATACCCAAATGTAGGAAAAAGCAGCTTGATTAACAGTCTAAAAAGAACCAAAGTGGTAGGAGTCTCAAGCACCCCTGGTTTTACAACAGGAGTCCAAGAGGTGGAAATTGAAAGCAAAATTAAAATTTTGGACTGTCCTGGAGTTGTCTTTGCGAAAAGTGATGGGAGAGAAAACCCAGAAATGGTTCTAAGAAATGTGATTAATATAGAAAGCGTAGAAGATCCTATCACTCCAGTTCAAGCTATTCTGCAGAAAGTGGCTCCAGATCAATTGATGAATTATTATAAAATCCCTCAATTTCAAGAAGGAATTGAGTTTCTGGCTCACATCGCTAGGGCGAGAGGAAAGATGAAGAAAGGAGGGATCCCTGACCTTGATGCTTCGGCCAAGATAGTGCTTCATGATTGGGTGGCTGGTAAAATTTCATATTATACTCTTCCGCCTGATTCTTTAAGTATGAGTCTCGAATAATTTTACATAATTAATTGGCCTTCTTTATATAAAATTCCTGATTTTACTTTGAGATGTTTTAGAAGTTTCAGTCTTAATGCAGGTTTTTCTATTATAAAACCCTTATGGATGATAAATAAAATAAAACAATGAATTTCTCATAAACTTCTAAAGTTTATTAAAAATTTATATCAAAATTAATACTAAATAAGCCTGGAAATGATAAACTTTCAACCTGAGAAAACTAAGCTTAATAAATTCCTTTAAGAAAATTCCTTATAAAATTCTAGGCTACCCCCATTTTTAATTACACCTTGCAATTTTAGCCAAGCTTCAAATCTTCAGGCTCATCACCTAGATCTTTGAATTCATCTTCTTCTAAGTCAAACCTACTTTTGGATTCAGGCCTCCTCTCTCCATTTCTATCAACATCTTTAGTCAAAACAATAAAATTTACTTTTTTGGGGGCTGAATACTTCGGCTCAATATTCTTTAGCATGTTGTCAAGCAGTGAAGAGTCGTCTTCCTGCCTTTTCTGGCTTATTTGAATAGGAATCACGCTTTCAGGCATAGGCTCAAATTTTGTAGGTTGAGGAGACTGCTCTTCTTCTAGAGTTAGGGTTGCTTGATTGAGAGGAGTTATAGCTAAGTCTTTTCGAGGAAAGCATCGCTGGATAATACTTTTGTCAAAAATCGAAAAACAATTCATTTTTAGTTTTCAAATATATTATAATAGCACGACTATTTATTATGAGGAAATTGGACTATGTTTTATATTAAAGAATGCCATAGAAAATTTATAAAAACTTAATTATTTGTGAAATTGGTTATTTAAGAATTCAAAACAGCGAAATTAATCAAATTTAAGTTTTGCAAAAAAAATTTAAAATATAAATAAATGGGTTGTGCTGAGAGTAGGAAAACTGAAGAAAAAGATAAAGCTGAAAATGTTAAACTAAGAAAAGAGCTATCCAATTTCCCTGAAGATAAAGAGGAAACACAAAAGGGTGAAACTTCAGAAGAAAATGATGGGGAGAATGATGAAGAGGAAGGAAGTCAAGAAGAAGGCGAAGAAGGCGAAGAAGGAGAGGAAGGAGAAGAAGAGGAAGAAGAAGAAGAAGAGGAAGGAGAAGGCGAGGAAGAAGGAGGAGAAGAAAGCGCTACTTTTGATTACGATTATTATATAGATGATTCAAGCTCTAAAAAGGCAATTTTCGAGTCGCTAATTGAAAATTGGAAAAAGCTGCATGAGGTAATTTCTTATTCAGATCACAAAAGAAAAAGCTTATGTAAATACTAGCTATTCTCCTTCAGATCTTTCCGGAAATGAGACCGATGACAGCCAACTAAAGCAAAGCTTCATAAATCAATCTAATCTAAGCAGGATAAATCATAGCCATATGAAAAGCGGAAGCAGCCAGGGCAATTTATAATTAATAGTTTCACCTTTGAGATTTATATTTCAAATGGAATATTTAATATCAAATAGTATTTTATTAACTTACCCACACTTTTCGGAAAATTAACCCCTTTTAAGACAAGCAAAAAGTATATCGGTGTAAAATGTCAAAATATTTTTAATATCAAGCAAATAAGAAATTAATCAATAAATTGTATTTAGTATTGTATTTCCATATATAAAGTTTTTTTTTTTAAGAATGGCATATGATTAATTTTTGAAGATATAATTTGATAGGTGAGCGAATAAAAAAAATTTTGTTCGCTCATGAAGGGTTTTTTTTACCCAAGATATGGATTTTCCCAATTGTTTTGCTCGCTCACTAAGGGAGGAATAAGTTGCTTGATAGAGCCAGGATTTGGGACACTATTTTAGGTTGTGCTTGGCTCGCGTAAATGCTGCTACTAAATCCTATGTAATAAGCAATTTGTGAGAGGGAAAGGTTCTTGAAAATAAATCGTATCTTTCTTTAAGCTTGTTTATGTGCGCTTTTGAATAAGATCAAATATTTTTTAATTCAGGTCTAAGTCTTTTTGCGCAGGTTTACTGTATATATTTCAGCTAATCCTTTTGGCATTAGAAGAAATCTTTGAAAAGATGCGAAAAACCGGGACTGCTAATTCATGCAGTCTAAGGTACTTAAAATTAATAATTTAATTAAAATTTCATTATAAGCCCTATAAAATGCTCTTCGATTGCCATTGACTTTATTGGCAAAAAGGACACGATAAAGTATTTATGTAGAAGAATAAATGCTACAGATTGTAGTAAAATCTCATAAGGCTTTAGCTCAAGCATTGCTAAATAATGAGAGGAGCTATCCTTTTCTTTGTTTGCAAAAATCTGAGTCCTACACAAGCGACAAATATCGATTTTTTTGTTGTTGCAAAGATAAAAAGGAATTATCAAATTGAGAATGAAAATGTCTCCATTATGTTTGCTACAAATCTAAATTTATAAGTTATTCTAAATAATGATAAATTTTTGTTTGAAAATGAAGAAAAAGCGAAAGAAAGCTCCCAACTCTAAGGAAAAAGTCTCGCTAGAGGCAGCTTCTAAGAGCTTGGGTTTAAGATTTAAAAATTGATACTGCCATTATATCCTCCCAAAGCATTGAGCCATTAAGAAAACGATATGGACAAGCTCCTTACCCAATGCATAATAAAGAAGTTTCTATAGCCAACTTCAAATAAAAATTGAAATAATTGTTGATAATATTAAAAGATCTCTTGCCCTTCCCCAAAACCAACTAATTTTCAAATAACTACTGAATTTAATGTCCTTAATAAGCCATATAATTTCTCATGATAAATTACTTAAAATAATTCCCCTTTTTTGATTTAAATACAAATTTACAGCTTCTTTGCCTAACTAAAAAATCTAAGATTTAATAATCATGGCTGGACGAGAAACAGAGATGCGTGGAGTTTATAAAGAAGAAGAGTTTAACTACAGCGACAAAGACACGGAGTATATTCCTGAGTCAAATGCTGGAGGACCTCCCATTATGGCTCCTATTGATTCTCAAACCAAGCTTCAGTACCTCATGAACGAAATAGACACCTACACTCGCAACCTCAGCCAGTTCCACCAACGGACTTCTAGCGACGTGGAGCATGGAAAGCGTCACCACGGTCCTGAAAATGAAGATGAAAAAGATCTCATCAGTTCTGATAACTCACTATATACTACCAGGCTTGAATCCCAACCAGCAACCATCGTAGGTGGCACACTGCGTGATTATCAATTAGAAGGCCTCAACTGGCTGCTTAAAATGCACGCCTGCAACATCAACGGAGTCCTCGCTGACGAAATGGGCTTAGGCAAGACTTTACAAACAATCTCCCTTCTCGCTCAGATTTATATACAAGGCGAAACCTCCCCTAACATAATCATAGTCCCTAAAAGCACCCTTTCTAACTGAGTCAAAGAATTCAAGCACTGGGCTCCTTCTCTACAAATTTTCGAATTTTATGGGAACCAAGAGGAGCGAGAACAGTTGAGAGCAAAAGTCCCCAGAACGAACACGTATTTCGTCCTATTGACCACCTATGAAATAGTCATGGCTGAAAAGACGACTTTGAAGACTGTGAAGTGGAATTATCTGATAATAGATGAAGCTCATAGGATTAAAAATGAGAAGTCAGTTTTATCACAGATTGTAAGGCTTTTTTCGACTAAACATAGACTGTTGATAACAGGGACACCGCTGCAGAATAGCTTGCATGAGCTTTGGTCTCTGCTGAATTTTCTGATGCCAGCTACTTTTTCAAGTTCTCAGGATTTTGACACTTGGTTTAACTTGAGCGGCGCTCATAACCAAGATGATCAAGAGTTTCTAGTAAGGCAGCTCCATAGGATTCTGAGGCCTTTTATGCTGAGAAGGCTTAAAAAAGAGGTAGAGACCAAGCTGCCGCCCAAAAAGGAACTTTATGTATTTTTAGGCATGACAGATGCCCAGAGGGAGCTTTATAAAAATTTATTGACCAAAAATATAGAGGTCGTCAATGGGTTTGGCGAAAGGAGTCAATATATGAACACCATTATGCAGCTCAGGAAGGTCTGCAATCACCCATATCTGTTTGACGGCATAGAGCCAGGCCCTCCTTATGCAGACGGACCTCACTTGGTTGAAGCTTGCATGAAATTTAAATTTCTCGACAAACTGATCCCACGATTAATCGAAAAAGGCTCCAAAATTTTGATTTTTACACAAATGACCAGGCTTTTAGACATCCTCGACGACTTTTTAAGCTATAAAGGCTACAAGTACTGCAGGATTGACGGGAATACCCCATACATAGACCGAGAACTTCAAATAGAAAAATTCCAAAACCGTGAGTCTGACGTTAAAATTTTTATTTTATCTACAAGGGCTGGAGGTCTGGGGATCAATTTGCATGCAGCCAATACTGTGATAATTTATGATTCTGACTGAAACCCTCAGGTTGATCTACAAGCTATGGATCGAGCTCATAGAATTGGCCAAACCCAAACCGTCACTGTGTATAGGTTCGTCACTGAAGGCACTGTCGAAGAAAAAATCGCAGAACGGGCCGCCAAAAAGCTAAAAATGGATCATCTTGTAATACAAAGAGGTGGACTGACACAGCAAAACAAAGCTCCATCTGTCCAAGACATGAAAAACATCGTCCAATTCGGCGCCCAGCAGGTGTTAAAAAGCACTGGGAACACAATTCCTGATCAGGATATTGATAAAATCCTCAAGTACGCCCAAGAAAAGACTGAAGAAATCAATGAAGAGCTGAAAAACATTGAGCAGGCTTTTAACCTGAATAATTTAAGCTTTGATGGGGCCTCTCTTTACCATTTTGAAGGCGAAGACTACAAAAAGGTAGAAAAAACCCATATCAGCCTAGGCAGAAGGAACAGAAAGAAAAACGAGCTTTATGAGGTCAATAAAGATCTTAACAACCAGCATAAGAAAAATAAGAAAAAAGGCTGGAGGGCTCTAGTCAACGGAGGACACCCTCACCAGTTTTTTGACGAGCAAGAACTAGACGATTTGGACAATAAAGAAGATAAATGGAATGAATTTTTGAATACAAAAACCAAAAGAAGACGAGGAGACCCACCAGTTGAGAAGCCAGAAAGGTTCACTGATAAAGATAAAGCTCAAAGAAAAGCTTTGCTTAGAAACGGATTTTTAAACTGGACAAAAAAGGACTTCAATAATTTCATTTTAGCCTGCGAAATATATGGAAAAGACGAGTTTGACAAAATCGCTGAAGAAATCGGCACAAAAAGCATCAGGGAAGTGGTCAAATATTCCAAGCACTTTTGGAGGAAGTATAAAAACCTGCCAAACGGCGAGGAATTTGTAGAAAGAATCAACCAAGGAGAACTGGACAGAGAAAGACTTGCCGAAATCGACGTGATTTTAAAGGCAAAACGAAGCCGGTCTGAAGGTGGGCTAACTTTAAGCTACCCTGAAGACCAAGAACCTACCAATTTTTCGAAGGAAGAGGACTTGTTTTTAGTGAAATGTCTGCTAGAAATGGAATATGGGAGCTGGGACGACATAAAGATAAAAATCCAAGAGTCTCCTGAGTTCCGGTTCAACGTCTGATTCCAGTCTAAAAGTCTTGACGAACTTGAAGAACGGTGCGAATACCTGATTGATGTGCTAGAAGAAGAGGCGATGAACCCTCGGAAAGTCCAGTGTGTTGAAAAAGAAGAGTCTATTTCAAACGGAAGCGACTGCAGGGTAGAAGTGACGATGGATTTCAAGTGGATTATAAAATTTCCGAAGTATCCTTTAGTTTAATATACCAAAATACTATTTTGCTTGTAAATTTTATTATTTTTATATATGAGATTTATGGCAAAAGGCAAAATAGCTGAAAATGAATACTGTTTTATTGAATAATTTAGTTATGACTTGAAAATCCACATATAGTTGGTCACCAAACTCACAATTATCATGCTAAAAGTTGTGATCAGCTGGCCGTAATCTGTAGTCTGTGACCTCGCACTGGTGAATCCGCAGCAGAAAGTCAGCAGGGCGAGCCACCCTCCCCATTTGGATTTGAACATGAAGCCAAACATAGCGAAGAGCACTGCGATAAAGTGGTAATAGTCAGGCGGCGTCTCTTTCTTCTCGTCAATTGTCTGCTTGTAATAGATCACGTTGCTGGGTCGGCGTGGGTCTCCTTTCATTTTATTAATTATGATAATACCTGTTAAAGATTAGAAGTACTTCATTTTGTTGCCGATCACAGGCTTCACCTCTTCTTTCCACTGCCAGAGAATTCTGGGTCTCCCAGAGACGATCATCTCGAACTTGCAGACGTTCTTGTCCTTTCTTCGCAATTCTTCAATGATAGGCCATAGTTTCCTGGTGAGGCTTTTGCCCAGCTGATTTTCGATGTCAGACTTGATGGTGGACTCCATTACGCCGTGCTCCAAGGTGTCGTCGACGTTGGCTTTGATTTGTGAGCTGATCATTTCGTACATTTTTCTGGCTTGCTGAAGCAGAACTTTACGCTGGCGGTAACAGATGTACTTGTAGATGAAGAAGAGGGAAATGAGGAGACCGATTGTGAGAGAGTATTTATGGTCTTGGAGGAACTCTATAATCTGGGCGTAGAGACCTAAAAATGGCTTCTTGGCGTGGATTATGAGCTTCAAAGGGTCGTCTAAGCTGTCAATTTTTAGTGAAACTTTGGCTTTGATGAGCTCTTTAAGCCTCGACACAATAAGCCCTTCTTCTGTTTCTAAAAATTGGCGGGAGTAATCTTCAAAGTCAATCATGAATTCTGTACGAGTTTCAAGCCATTTATGTGTCGCTTGACTTATCACGTAGCTTTCAAGCTCCCACAGTCTCGTATAGGCCTTTTTCTTAACCTTCTCGTCTTCTACACATGCAGTTCTATCTCTCTCAAACCCTGGCTCACAGCTCATTGAGCCTCCTTTACAAATAGCATGCTCAGGGCATTTTATGCAATTTTCATAGATCCCTTCCCCACAAAATATTGGCTTAGCCATATAAACTTTAACCAAATAAGCAGCAAATAAAATTGCTAAAAGGATCCCTATGAATGTCCCGATTTGGGAAAGACTTTCCTTTATTAAAGTTGCGCTTGAGCTTTTGACTTCTAATGACTCTTTTTCTTCTGAAGGAAAAGCAGCCTCCATCCTTTGGCGGAAAACATCAGTTTTCTGATTTGACAGCTTTATTGAGCTAGGGTTGTAAGGGATTGCACCGACCCTTCTTGGAGGGGATACAGCTTGGGCTTGAGGAATGGAGTTTCTAGAGAAAGCAGGCTCTGTTTTTTGCCTCTGGAATGAAGAGATAGGAGAGACTGATCTCTTAGGAGGATTTCTTTCAGGCTGTTGCTGCTTTTGGATTGCTTCGACTAATTTGTCGATCAAGTCTTGCTTTCTTGTGACGCTGGAGGGGACGAAAGCATTCAGCTCATTGAGCCTTTTCCTAATTTGGAGGATCGTCATATCTTGGAAATCTTCCATTATTTAAATAATTATTTTGAATAATAAAATCTTATAGACTTTCTATTAGCCTTAATGAGTTATTATACTACAGAAGTCTTATAATAAGAATGTCACAGCTATTTAAAAGATGGAAGCCCACGACTACATTGCTGGACCAAATGGGCTCTGTGACGTCTGTGGAAAATCTAGAAAAGACTGCTCAAGTGCCAGTGAAGTCTACATAACAGGCCAGCCTGAAACAGCAGTCGGGACACAAATTAACAAAGCAATCCTTTTCTTTGAACAAATCCCTGAAAACTGCCGAGTCCAACAAATATGCTGCTCAAAATTCAACACTTTTATATTAAGCACAACCGGTCAAGTCTTCTCTTGGGGAGACACAACCAATGCTCTCGGCCGAGCCTTAGAAAAACGTGACGACTCTAAAATCCCTAAATTAATTTATGATCTCAGAAGTCGGTTCATCGTGTCTATTGCAGCTGGAGAAAGCCACGTCCTCGCCCTTGATAATGATAAGTTTATATGGTGCTGAGGGTTTAATAAATTTGGGCAGCTTGGGCTTGGGGACACAAATGATCGAAATCTGCCTACAAAATTAGAATTTATTTCAGAAATCGTTAGAATTGCGGCTGGGCCTAATTTCTCATATGGGATCAGCCAAAATGGAGTCGTTTATGCCTGAGGAGATAACAGGAACTTTCAGCTTGGAGTTATGGTAGATGACAAAGGGGCAAAACAAGTAAGGTTTTTAGTCCCAAGAGAAATAGAAAATCACCCATGGGATAAGACAACAGAAATAGAAGTTGTAGGAGGCAGAGGCAACAATTTTTTCTATAGGAGCAATATGGGCGGATCGATGAATAGCAATATTACAGGAGGTTCAGGTGTTAGCAAATCAGAAGCCAGAAAAATCAAGCTGGAAAACGAAGACTTAAAACGAAGGGTCGACTTATTGACTAAAAAAGTAGCAATCTTGGAAGAAGAGCTTTACAGTCAAAACGCTGAAAAAAACCCTGAATTCGCCCAAGGCCCTGATACAGCTCTTCAAGAAATGCAAGCCATGATCAGAAAAAACCTCTCTCACATGAGCACGTTAGAAACAGAATTAAACAATAAAGATACTGATATCATGAGACTCACCAAAGAAATAGAAGAAATCGAAACAAGTCTGCATGACCTAGAGCAGAAAGAAGCTGAATACTGGACTGAAATTGAGCACAGAGAAAATGATATCCGCAAGCTGCTAGCCAAAGAGGACAAAAATACTGTGAAAATACTAGAAATAAAAAATAAACGTGATTCACTACATGAGATCGTGAAATCCATCGAAAGCACAAAATCTACGTTTTATTCAGATTTAACGATAAAGCAAGATCTGCTTGAAAAACTGTCAGATGAGAAAAAAAGCATGGTGGCTGACCTGGCAGAGTCACAAAAAAAAGAAATAATTTACAAACAAATGATAGGATCAAGAGAAAAAGAGCTGAAGTTGCTTTTTTATAATAGAAAACAGGATAATATTGAAAATGACCTAATAGCGATTATTAATATGCATGAAGCTGTCAAAGAAACTGCGTTAGAAATCATTAGCAAGTCTATTGAAGCTACCAATGTAAATGAATATGTTGCGACTTCCAATGCTTTACTAAGGCGAATTCTGTCAGAAATCGAGTCGCTAAAGCGTCCAGGCAAGAGCTCCATTGTAAAAGCATTGAATAATATTTGAGGGATCCTTGAAGACGACATAGCCATGAGGCTAAAATTAAATGACTACACACAAGGCTTGCTTTTCCATACAGCAGAAAGGATTTCTGACTATAACGATGTGATGGGGATCCAAGCTTATGACAATCGAAGCCCATTTATGAAGAAGGTAGATTTTATCAAGCATGTTTTTAATAAAGGCTCAGTCAATTATACACCTGAAGAAATACAAAAAGAAGAAATTATTGAAGAAAAAAAGACTAAGCAGAGGAGGGGACGGTCTCGAAGGGCCCAGCGGAATAGATGGCTTTGTTTCTAATTGTATTATAGTTATTAACACAATAATTCCTCCTTATTTATTAATTTACACTATGTGTTTCATCATTGCAGCCTTGAATTCATTGAAATCAATGACTCCATCCCCATTTGTGTCCGCATCTTTTATTATTTTCTCCCACACAGTATTTTCAATCTGCTGGTCTCCTCCTAAAAAGTTCTTAATTTCGCTTACTGACAGCGTCCCACTCTTATCAGTGTCAATTGCATTAAAAGTTGCTTGTAGCCTATCATCAGACAGTGCCTTGTGCCAGTCTAATGTAGCAGTCAAAAATTCATTATAGTCAATATATCCATTATAATCAGTGTCACAATTAGCCAAAATTTCTTCTACATTGATATCTTTTCCAATAGACGCCTTTTCAAAGCCTTGCTTCAACTCTTCAGCGCTTAGTTTTCCGTCACCGTTTTCGTCAATTGCAATAAAAGCTTTTCTGATCTCTTCAGTCTCTTCTTCTGTGATCAGCTGAGAAGCAATATAAGCCAACACGGCTTGTTGGAGCTTATAATTAGCCTTCCAGCTTCTCAAATTGGACAAGGTATTACCATTGATTATGTTGTCCTCGATTTTATTCCTGGCTCTCTCAATGATTCAAGGATCTTTAAGGAGCTCTTCAGCGTTCGGTCTGGTCTCTGGATTTTTTGTGAGCATTTTTTTGATTAAATATTTGGCTTCTTTGGAGACGTAAGTCCATTCTTGGTTGGAAAAAGTAAAGACTCCTCGGGATATTTTGGTCATGATTTCTTTGTCACTGGTTCCGTTAAATGGAGGATTGCCACAGAGCATGGTATATAAGATAACTCCTGAGCTCCATATGTCACATTTAGAATCATAGCGGCCTTCAATTACTTCTGGAGCTATATAATAAGCAGTCCCAATCACTGATTTAAGCTTCCGATTGGCTTTGAATCTTCTGGAAGTTCCGAAATCGGCTCCTTCACACAATGCCTACACCATAAAGACAATATTTTTGGCCTATTTTTTAGCCTATTTTTTTGCCTATTTTATATGAGCTATTTCTTTGAATTATTTTTATTTGACCCACTTTTTTTTTTGATCTATTTTTTCAACCTATAATTTTTGGGGCTTATTTTTAGTGCTCAAATTTTATAATATTACTTCTGTCGAAAATAATAAACTCAAATGGATTAAAAATTAACTCAAAATAATCAATATGAGAGCATTCCAAATTAATTAGAAAAAAAGATTAGAATAAAATAAAAAAATACAATAAGACAAAAAACAGTTTAAAACAAATTAACCAAATAGGGAAAAAGAAATTGGCTAAAATAAAAAAATAGCTAAAAAAGAGCAAAAAAACTAGTCCAAAATGAAATAGGTGAAAAAATAAGAAAAAAAAATATAGGGCTTTCCCTTGAATAGCCCGATAACGGGCTGAGTTCATCCCGTTATCGGGCTATTCAAGGGAAAGCCCTATAAGCTTTGTGGAGTGGGCTTCGTGTGAAGTCACGTCCGAAATCAATTAGTTTTAAAGGCGAATCGCTTTCCTTGTCCCTCAGTAACAAATTTTCTGGTTTTAAGTCTCTATGCACAATCCCATTTTTATAGCAGCAAGACAGAGCAGATAATACCTGATACATATATCAAGTATAATTAAAATATGGCGTCTCTCGAATTTCTGGTCTCCTGACGAAAAATTCATCTCTTGCAAAATTCGCCCCAGAGCGGTGTTAGAGGTAACTGTGGACGTTTAAATGTGTATAGATTAATTAAAATTAAGATACATATACCATGCAGCATTGTTTTCTGACACGTGGCCTTGAGAAACAATTTTATCAAAAATTTCGCCTCCTGTGCAGAGCTCTGTGATGATGTAAAAGGTGTTGTTATCTTCAATGACTTCAAAAATCTTCAAAATGTTAGGGTGGTCTAAGCTTTTTAAGATTTCCACTTCTTTAAGTAGCAGAGCTTGATCATCAGCATCCAGATGCCGCTTAGAAATTGCTTTGACAGCTCGATAAATTCCTGTGCTTATATGTAATGCTTTATATACACGACCTTTGCGTTAATTAATTATAAACGCTTTACCTTCAATCTGGAGTTGCCTTCTTCCATGGCTTTCACCTTCCTTGCATGCAAGGGCTTACAGCCCACATGGCCAGCCTCCTTTGATCACAGCTGCTCATTTGGGGAGGATGCTATCGACTTTGACTGTTCATACATAAGCTAGTTTTTTCGTCATCAGTAATTTCAAAAATTAAAAAAAGCAGGAATTTCTGATCAATTCTTTGCAAAATAAAGAAAAATTAAAGTCCATAAAGAAACTCCGGTTTAACGCTGGAGAGCTGCCCAAAAGCCTAGGCAATGCCTCTAGGCTCTGCCTCTAGGCTCTGCTAAGCTTCCCCTTTCCAACTCATACCTCCCTTTCCCACTACGCATAATCCAAATTTGAAAGCGGACTAAAGTTGACTTCACACACAACTAGAATTGCTTACCTAGCCTAGCTATCCATTTCTAAGTTAGCAAAACCTTGTCAGATAAAATTAAACATATACTTGAGGCTGCATGACCATGCCAGGCCTAGACACCATATTTAATTAATATACTCGACCAAAGCTGCCATTCCCCAGAGGTTCTTGCATATGATAGAAATCAGTGATTCTGCCTTGAGAGATATGAACAAAATTTGCACGGTGGATTTTAAGTATTGGGCTAGTTTTGGCTAGATCTAAATTTCGTTGAGGAGAATCAGAGGATTTCCGTCCACTAGTACTTTGTGTTGGAGTTAGTTTAAGTGGAAAAGCGTCTGCAGAAGTGTAGAATCCGCTTTCTATTGTTTCGTTGTGCAAGCAAGGAAATGATTTACATGTACCCATTTATTTATTTTAATACCAGAATGAAGTAATTGATTTTACAGCTTAGAGACTTTCAATACTATTATGAATCATTATTATTACCGATACAATTTTTTGAAGCAGAACTTTATCAGAAGTCCTTTCACAATTTTTAAGCTTTAAGAACTTTTGAAAATCAAGTTAACTAAGAATTTCCATTAGTAATCTCTATATAGCTTGATTCATTAGGCCAGCAAGATTCAAAAGAGATTTTAGTCTGCTTATTATCAAAATTATGCCTTTTTATATTATTTTCTAGTTTTTTGCAATAGTAAATTTAATGATTCCTAACTATTTACAGATGAAAATAAATGTAAATATATTATACAAAAAGATATAGAAGAGCTTTCCAGTGTTAGTTTACCAAATATCACTCTGATTCAAGAGTTTCTATGCATGAAGTGTAGAAAATCCTCCAAAAATCAAGAAAATCATAGCTTTTTTACGATTCCAAATAATAAAAAAATGAAATCAGCACGTATTTAAAAGAGTTAAAAGTAAAGGTCCAGCATTTTAGAGGAGATAATATATTCGGATCAATAGCAAGCCATTGATAATTTATGGCTGAGTAGACAAACACAATAAAAATGTTTTCTTCTTGAAAAAGATCTAAATTTTGAATTGCAGCCTCATTTTCTGAACTAAAAAAGCTGGGTTTCTTTGTTTTAAGTCATTTATTTCTACAGCCAATTTTTCATATCCTACTCTCCATAAGTCTATATCTACATTTTCTGAAAGCTCTTCTTTTGTTTCCTCCTCTTCTTCCTCTTCAAAACTTAATTCTGATGACTTTAATAAAATTGAACCCTCCAAAAGTTGCAAGACTATTTTATTATAGTCACTTAACCATTCAATAGCCTGATCTTCAGAAATCGATACTGAATTTACAAAATACTGAAATCTTCAAACAAACTGTATTGGAAGCCCTTTATAAAATGGTTTTAGACAAATTTATTGGGCACTATAAGTGAGTTATCAAAAAGCAATTGTTATTTTGTTTATCTAGATTAATATTTAATACTCTGATTTATATGATGCTTTATTCTGATCCTGTTGGCTTTATCACATTTGAGCTCTCCAAAAGTTCCAAGACTATTTTATTATAGTCACTTAGCTATTTCAATAACCTTTTTCAGAAATCCACACTGACATTTTTAAATTATAAATGCAGAATTTTATTTTCTAAGCAGGCTGAACCCTATTCTCTTACCCAATCTAATAATGAGATATTAGTTTATTCTATTTAAATTTTATAAATTAAATTTGTTTTTTTGACAACAAAAATTTTGGAGAACTTGCTAAACTTTTGCTAAGAAGTGCTAAGAAATGCAAAATGATTAGCATATTATTTTGTTTTATGGCTAAATTGTCAAAAAAAATGCAAATATGTCCAAAAAATTGTCAAAAAGCGTCAAAAATATGGCAAATATTTCCTAAAATTTGCTAAAGTGTCAAAAAAAAGTGGCTAAGTTTCATATTTTTTGTCAAAAAATGTCAAATTTGTCAAAAAATATATCTAGGATGTCAAAAACGTCAAAAAAACAACCATTAAAATTTTATGCTAATTTTGACATAATTTAATATAAATAAAGCTCTACAGCATATTTTCTTATATTATAGTATATGATAATAAAAGAGCAAATAGCGCTGTGCACTTCCAATGGCAACAGAAATTTGTGAAGCATCTTTAAACTAATCAATTAATATAGAGGTTTCCTCTATATAGCGCTAAAAGCGCAGACATTTTTCCCAGGAGCTTTCCAAGTTCGTCGGACCCAAATCGCTTTTTGGTCCGACCAAGGCATTGATTTGGTGCAACCTACCGATAAATTTCCGATCAGAATTTATCGGCCTTACAGCGCCAAACATAGGAAACTTCTATAGAAAAAACTAATTTTTTTAAAAAGTTTTGTGCCCATTAGCATCAAGTGAAATGAGCAAGATTTGCATGTGAAAATATGCAAAAATACAGCATGAATCTTTTTACTATTACTATGCGCGAATTTTGACTAGATGGTACTATATGGAAACAAATGTTTATGAAAAATTGTAGATGAACTGTGATAACTTATAATAGGCACTTAGAAAGTTTAATGATCTTTTTTATATAAAGAAGCTTGGACTTTCTATATAATCTTATACTCAAAGACTTAATAATCAAGTAAAAACATAAAGATAGGGCATAGTTGAAAAAATGTGTACTATCGCTATACCCATCCCAATAATATGCATTAAGTTAAATTGAAATTATAAATAAGTAATTTGATAGTTTCAATTAATTATGATTTATAAAAATCCCAAAAGCTAAAGATTTTGAGCGTTTATTATAAATAATTCTAATAAATATTCTTTTTAGGGAAATTTAGGAATTTTATTTAATTTTTTAGTTCTGTATATGATAAAAGGATAAATGTGCTATAAATTAAACTTTTAAGTAATAAAAGCATGATAATTATAGCATTTTTTATATAAAAACTGCTAATCATAATATAGAAATATAATAATGATGTATCCAGTAGCAAAAATTATATACATTAAATTGGCGACACGTGTCAACCTGCCCTCTTGGTGCAGCATTCAGACCTTATGGCTACAGCGAACTGTGACGGACTCCGAGTCGAGAATTAAGTGCAGGCTCCAGAGGTGTGTATCCGGGTAAGTTTTGGCTGCTTTCCTGTGGTTGGAAATGGAGGTTCAACAACGTCCTTGGATCCGAAGACTCATGGGTATTCCTCTAACGAGAAACTAAGGGTTTCAGCCCAGGCCACAGGGGAACAGTTTTTTCCTGTAGCTGTCGAAGGAAGGCACTTCGAAACCCGATAGACTCCAAGGATCCTTGCAAGCTACTCCAATCGCCTGTAGCAGGGCCGCAGAAATCCATAAGCCGCCACTCAAGACTGAAGCCACAAGGTAAGGAGGAGACAGAAGGTACAGGAAGGGCACTCGCAAGAGGGATAGACCCTTGGGCTGGAGTCGAAAAGCGGGTGAACCTCCCTTACAGGAGGTCTTTGGTGACTGCGTCACCAATATGGCTAGCACCTGACTTTAATAATCCTAATCCTAATCTTAATCCAGTAGCAAAATTTTAATGATAACTTTGCTCTACTCAGCTTTCAATTCAAAACGATAAATATAGGAGGAAAACCATATGAGACGATTACACTAATTTCTATTGCTTATATAAACAGTGCAGCGCATCATGTAGAGCTAAAGGCGAATTACTTTTAGCAGATTAAGCTGAAGTAATTAAGAATCACCAGAACCATAGCATTTCAGCTATTCAAGAAAGCTCTCAGAATTCATAATCGAAATTACAGATATTTAACTACTTCCTGAACTACGAAATATAATTCTAACTCTCCCATTTAATAGCGAACACTTTTTTTGTTCATTATTAAATGGGGTCAACTTATAAAATTTATATTAAATATCTATGATTTTTTTATATAAAGATTTCAATTAAAGAGTTAATAATAAAAGGATTCAAATGATAGCAATAGAAAGAGAAAACGCCTAAATGCAACGAAAAGATAACTATTGCTAACTCCCCACCCCTCCGTGAGCGAACAAAATCATTAGAAAAATTCCTCACCCTCTGTTAGCAAATAAAATTTTTTATGGATAAAATGATATATAAATGATAATTATTCTAATGAAATCTGGAGCTAATTCTGTTTAATTTTAAACAACTTACGTTTTAAAATATAAATTCTGCAAATTCAATTATTATTTGCTTTCCAATTTTTGCGAATTAGGATATTTTAAATTTCGAAAAAAAAGATTCTATAAAATTTATAAAAAATTCTTGTGGAAAAAAATTAACCCCCTTCATAAGCGAACGAGATTTTTTTTGTTCGCTCACGGAGCAGGGGAGTAAAGCACCAGTGTTTAAGATTAAGCCACTATTAACTTATTAGCTCTTATTTATTATTCTTATCTCGATTATGTTTGCCCTTATCTTATTCTAACTACTTAAAATTAGTAAACTATAAAGACTAAATTAGCTTATATAAATTTTATAGTAAATTTTGTTCGTTACTAATGGGGCCTGTTGGTTTTTAAGTGGGGGGAAGAGTGTTAGTAGTAATTATAACATTAATAGTAAATATTTATTTAATGCGTCTACATTTTCCACTTACTAAAGAGCATTGAACTAAAAAATTAAATAAAATTCCTAAATTTCCCTAAAAAGAATATTTTATTAGAATTATTTATAATAAACGCTCAAAATCTTTAGCTTTTGGGATTTTATAATCATAATTAATTGAAACTATCAAATTACTTATTTATAATTTCAATTTAACTTAATGCATATTATTGGGATGGTATAGCGATAGTACACATTTTTTCAACTATGCCTTATCTTTATGTTTTTACTTGATTATTAAGTCTTTGAGTATAAGATTATATAGAAAGTCCAAGCTTCTTTATATAAAAAAGATCATTAAACTTTCTAACTCCCCCCCCCAATTAATAGCGGACGAAATCAATGTTTTTTTTTCCCTAAAAAATGGACCCTTAGGTACCATTTAATAACGGAAATTTTTTTACTATAAAAAATTTTAAATTATATAAGATAATCGTTCATTATAAATTTACTAATATACATAAAATGGCGGATGACTTCCGACCCGTCCTCTTGAGACGGTTATATGTGTATATCTGGGCATGGTTTTTGGAGCCAGGAATTGGCCCAGCTATGTCTTGGGAGCTCAAGACAAGAGGTTTAAGCGCAAAGATCGCTGTTTTTGTGACCAAGACCCTTGGGCAGTTATTCGTGACTTCTTTTTTGCCAGCGGCGCCCAGCTCAGTGAGTGTCCGAAAAATGAGGCAGGGCGACATACCTGACTAAGCGCTTTTGTGATTTGCCCCGAATGGCGAAAGCTGTTGAGTTCTTTCTTGGGATGACCGGAAAAGACGGGAAGGCAAATTAGACGAGAAATCGGGGGTCTCTCCAATTAAAAGGTGCCCTTCAGTGGGCAGATTTGGCGACGTACGGACAAGTTGGCGCAAGATTCAGGGCGACGAATCAAGTTGGAAATGGAGGCGGTCAGTTGGTCACCACCTCTACCGAGAAACCGGGGGTTTCGGACCGGGCTTGAAGCGGCCACACCTTAGCCACCCTACTGGATTAATCTCCATAGAACGTCACGGCGGCGAAGTAGGGACTTAAAATGCATAGCATCTTAACATAACATAACATAAATTTACTAGAACCAATGAAATAAAGATGGGAATATTTAAATAGAATTCATTTAAGCGTAAAGGTATAAAAAATTATGAGAGCTAATAATATGCATCTGACTTTCTTTCTTTAAACCTTGATCTCCCCTTTTCAATTGATGAATGTCTTTTACTAATCCGCCTACACTTGACTTTGATATTTTGAACTTGTAGGCTACATCTTCATATGAAAGACCTTAATTTTGATGATCCAGGTAGTATTGTGCAATAACTAGCTTATCACCAACTGTTAATCTTTTCTCTTTCTGGTTTCTTCATTCAACTCCATTTTATTAGATTTAGTGCTACTCTTTTTACTTAAAATGCATTTTTTTTTCAGACCTTTTATAAAAAATTTTAAATAGAAAAATATATATAAATACCGAACTTTTTAAGTTATGACCCATTTAATAGCGGGGGGGAGTAAGTGCCTATTATAAGTTATCACAGGTCATCTACAATTTTTCATAAACATTTGTTTCCATATAGTACCATCTAGTCAAAATTCGCGCATAGTAATAGTAAAAAGATTCATGCTGTACTTTTGCATATTTTCACATGCAAATCTTGCTCATTTCACTTGATGCTAATGGGCACAAAACTTTTTAAAAAAATTAGTTTTTTCTATTAATTGATTAGTTTAAAGATGCTTCACAAATTTCTGTTGCCATTGGAAGTGCACAGCGCTATTTGCTCTTTTATTATCATATACTATAATATAAGAAAATATGCTGTAGAGCTTTATTTATATTAAATTATGTCAAAATTAGCATAAAATTTTAATGGTTGTTTTTTTGACGTTTTTGACATCCTAGATATATTTTTTGACAAATTTGACATTTTTTTGACAAAAATATGAAACTTAGCCACTTTTTTTGACACTTTAGCAAATTTTAGGAAATATTTGCCATATTTTTGACGCTTTTTGACAATTTTTGGACATATTTGCATTTTTTTGACAATTTAGCCATAAAAAAAATAATATGCTAATCATTTTGCATTTCTTAGCACTTCTTAGCAAAAGTTTTAGCAAGTTCTCCCAAAAATTTGTCTCCTTTCAAAGAAGCAGGAACATTTTGCTCGCCCTTAAAAAAGTGTAATTAACATAAATTTTTGATTTTATTAGAATGAGTATCAACGCTATTTACATATAAATTGTTATTTTTATCTATAAAACTAATATTTTGTCTCAATTTAAAGAGGCTAATTAGGATTCTACCAGTAGTTGCGCCCTAATTTAGATGGCAGCTAATATATATATCATAGTTTATTATTAGTTTAAATATATCATTAATTTAGATATTAAATATTATATAAATTACTATTTTACTTTGTTGATTATATTAATATCAAAAATACAGGATTTGATCGCTCCAGGTTGAGAAGTCAGCATATATAAATCATAGAGCATTATGCTAATAATGAAGGTGACTTTTGACTGAAAAATTATTTCTATTTTTGTGGGGGCTATTTCATAATATTAAGATTTTATTTTCTTTGTATTGCTTTGCAAGAATCACACCAATTTTAAGTTCAAAACTTAGTGTTTTCTTATAGAAGCATTTTTTTTTGAGAGCACTGAGGTTTTAATTTCATATTTGCTTAAATATTAGTTTTAAGGATTTAAATACCTTAAACTCGATTGAAAAAAATTATAATATAATGTGATAGATTAAAGCCTTTTTTAGACTTCAGCCAATGATTAGATATAAAACATTTTTGTATTGTAAGCTATAATTTTTATATTAAACGACTACTAAAAATAATTATCATCACTATTATTAAGCAAAGAGCATTATCTTAATTACTTTATAATTTAATTCTGGTATATAAGAAACAAAATATCAAGCTCTATTGGTATTATTAGGAATCATTAAACAGCATAGAAAGACAACAAAACTGTCTTTTTCTTCTTGTGCTAAATTTTAAATATAAACAATATTTGAGTATAAAAGTAGGCTCCAGTAGCCCTAATTCACATGCATTAGCAATTAATTCTCATGCTGTGTTGTTTATATTAAGCTCTATTTAGTTTCTCTATACTTTTCAATTTTTTTGTGAGTAAAACTAATGAAATTTACATAACAATTAAGCTATCTTTGTCTCAATTTTAGTATTTTCACAAAGCATTGCAATTCTTAACTTTAAAGTGCAGTGTTGCATTTTAAAAATATTCAGATTTAATTATAGCAATTACTATTAAGATTAGCCATCCTTTTTAATAATATAAAATCAGTAGGCCTGAACTAATTACCAGTCAACAAATTTAAATTTTTGACGTTTTAGCACATTCTATTATTTAAAATAAGAAAGATTGCCTCATTAAATACTATCTGCAATCGAAATTTCCAATTCCTTCTAGAAGAGCTACTTTTTATTTCAATTATATATATTGACTCAGATTTTTTATTATAAACTCTCATACGCCGTCAGCTAATTTTTATAAAATATAAGCATTCATTAAAAAATATGTAACCTATATATATTTTCCATGAGTCTTCCTAATGGAAACGGTTTATTTTTTAGTTTTTCCACTTTCATTCTAAACAAAATTGGTTCATGTCTATATAGTTGGTATAATCAAATTAAAGGAAAAAATAATCCTTAAATCTGATTATAATATTTAATGAATGGTTTTTCATTCCAGTCTGGCACTAACCAGGCTTATCAATCAGCAGACGATGTTCCTGATGATAGAAGCTTTTCTGATTCCTTTCTCACAGCTGAAGATTTAGAATACGGACCAGTTCAAGATTCTATCATGAACCGAGAATTTGGCCTTCCAGGCCCATGAAATTTTTCCTGCTCAAATAGGCTAATCCCTAATAAAGTATCAAATATTTAGCTTTATTCCGAAGGCCCATTGTTTGACAACTGGGTTTTTAATGGGCAGTTTTCCCAGTCGGGAGACATGTATTATTGTACAACCCAAAAGCAAATCAGAATATTTAATACAACTGACCCATTGAATTGGACTCTTCAAAAATCCCTTGATGTAAATGGCTCATTTTGGTCTTTTAATGATGTAGACCTGAGCCCTTGCGAAAAATACTTACTCCACAATCCTTGATCGAACGACTCTGTCGTTGATCAAGGATAAGGATTCAAAAAAATTATATAAATTATATATATTGTTTTTTTGTGTACTTTTTAAATAAGAGGATTAAGATAGTAAATATTAAAACTATTAAAATGAAAAAATTGTGTTGATTATTCAATAAAGACTAATTTATATTTATTATTGCTTTGCAATCCGCCAATTACTCCAAAAAAATTGGCAGATTATTAAAAGTACTTAAATTACTCTTGGCTTACCAATAAAAACAATTAATTTTCATAAATTATTATAAAGATTACGAATTTATTGACTAATGTGTATAAAAATACAATATATGAAAAAATTTGATAAAGGATGTGTTAATTTTTAGGAATTTTTCAATCAAATTGTTCAATCAAGGATGGGGAGAGTTAATCCTTTCCAGTTTCGAATCCAAGCTTAGGCTAACCCCAATAGACGATTCCAATATAGACGACTATAATTTTACCCAAGGAAGCATCAACGGAGTTACAACTTATGACGCTATTGATACAAACGCTGGAATTTTCAGTGTCAAATTTTCAGGTGACAGCAACAAGGTGATAGTCGGCACAAATAGGCGCTCCCTAGAGATGTATGACCTGGTAAAGAAAAAACTTGTGTGTTCTGTACAGAAAGCTCATGATGACGACGTGAATTCTGTTTGCTTTATGGACCCAGAAAAATCCAATATTATAGCATCAGGCTCTGATGAGTCTTGCATCAAAATTTGGGATTTAAGGTGCTTAAAATATGATGGGCTACCTCAAGGAGTTTTGGTAGGGCATAGAGAAGGAGTTACTTATGTGTCGCCTAAGTATGATGGGATTTCTTTGGTTTCGAACAGCAAAGACCAGACTTTAAAGCTGTGGGATATCAGAACTATGACAAGCCAAAAGGTGTATATAGAGTTTAAACGAAGTCATCGATACCAGACGTATTTTGACTACAGATGGGAACGCTATCCTTTGAAAAATTATACGAAAAAACTGGCTGCGGATACTTCATTGATGACTTTTAGGGGTCATGCGGTGTTTGGGACGTGCATTAGATGCTTCTTTTCTCCATTGTTTTCGACAGGGCAGAGATTTATATATACAGGGAGCTCTGATGGCGATGTGCATATTTTTGACTCTGTTACTGGAAAAACAGCTAGAATATTGAAGGATCCGTATGATGGGCCTTTACAAGAAACGAAATTAATTAGAGATGTGTCGTGACATCCATTTGTGCCTCTTCTGTGTGCTGCTTCGTTTAGGAAAACTATTCTTTCATATAATTATTCCTCCTAAAGTACTGATTTTATTAATTAAAAGATATTATAGTTGAAAATCTGTGAAAAAACATTTTATTATAAGTTTTGGATTGAATTTATTGTGATAATTATAATAAATTATTTTCAATAAAAAGAATAATAATATCCCCAAACCTATAATGTTCAAGTAATTGTAGCTTTGAATTAAAAAATAAATAGAAATATGATATCATTATTATGCTGAGGTTTGAAAAGAGGAGATATTTTATAATTTAGAATTTTAAGATAAAGCTTCTTTGCTTGTGACAGACAATTTGGAGGATTTATCAATACTTTATAATAGATTGAAATAGATTGTATATTGAATATAAACATTTTTGCTTATAAAACTATTAAATATCTAATTTTAACCTACTCATCCTTCAAAAGACATTGACAGAGATTAATTATTTAATATTTTGATTAAGTATTCACAAATAACTCTACAAAATCTGTCTATCCAAGAGATTTATCGTGCTAAATTATGCAAGACCTTATTTATGAATATCAATAATACTTTTTCCTACTAGGAAAAACCATTATAATTTTTCAATTTTTCCTACTAAAAAACTATTCTCTACTCAACAAAGTCTTGAAAATTCTTTATATTCGTGATCTCAATAAGTTAATTTCTAATACTCATATTTGAAACCCATTATTTTCTTTGCAAACGCTTATTAGAAAATAAATATAAAACACGTTTAAAAATGCTAATTTTCTTCCTCATAATTTTGGGCTGCTACTCATCTCAGCCAAAACCTGAAGACCGGCTTCTCCCCCTTACTTCTTCCAATCCCATCATCTTAAAATCCCCAAGCAAAATTTCCTCATCAGACCTGGCAACTTTATCTACAGGCAAAATTTCTCCTTTAATTTCCTACGCTTCAAATCTAATCGGTCCTCAACAGATCCATGCAACTGATAAAGGCGACCTATACCTTATTAATTCAGAAGGACTATATATAAAATTGCCTTACTCCATTGAAGAAGCTGTGAACAAGTCTCCATTTTACTTATCAGAATTCCCTGACACTTTAATCGTCGGCTCAAAAAAGCTAAAACTCTATCAGGTTGTACAGAAAGACGAGGAATATTTTATTGAAGAATTGCCTGCACTTTTGTATGGGACTGAATTGGATTTTAACCGAGCTTTGTTAGGAAAATTTGACTACTCATTAGAAGCGGTGAATTTTTTATCAGGCGAGATAATGTGGAATTTGAATTTTACCCAATATTCAGGGCTAAATGTAGCAAATGATATGCTTTTTATAATAAATAAAATATTTTTTAATTAGAAAATAATTACTATAAGCAGTTATAGTAAATTGAATAGTTTGGAGATAGCTAGTTCTGGATTAAAAGAAAAGGAAAACGCATTGAGTATTATAGATCAGTCGTATAATCATACAATAGTGCACTCAGATGAAGAAGAAAATTCAGAAGAAAATGAATGTTTGGATTATGATTATAACTCAGCAGGAACCTGTGGAACTATGATCTGGGACTTTATTATAAATTATTACTGGATCGCTATTTTAGTCCTTTCTTCTATGGTTATTGGAATTCACGTTGGCAGGCTGCAAGTCGAAAAAATCCCTTGTGAAAAACCCAGAAACACTGAAAGCACTGCTCCAAGTGAAAGCTTAAATAAAGATAGTAACCAACTTCTAGACAATTTTGATGCTACTGAGCATAAAATATACCCAATTTCAAAGCTGGATCTATCAGCAATTAGTTCAGCTCATGAAGTTTCAGTTTTTGAAGAATCCAAAAATTCTCAGAAGTCTCCTGAATTTTCTGAGCACTCAGTCGCCGTTAAGGAAAATTCGCAAATAAACAATGAAGCTTCAGATTTCACCAAATCCAGCAGTGAGTCAAGCCATTATAAATCTTTTGATGACCCGAAAATCCCGAATAAAGAATTAAGGAGCTTTTTAGATGATGGACACTATAAAAGGCATTACAAATACCAAAGGATCCTAGGAAGCGGCGGTTTTGCCTCTGTTCACCTAGCTGAGCATAACCTTGATGACCAGCTTTATGCAATAAAAATAGTAAAAATGCAGATTAACCCTGAAGAAAACATCAAAAAGCATAAACTTTTTTCAGAAGTAAACGCAATTAAGCAGCTCCAATCTAAATATATAGTAAGATACATCACTTGTTGGGCTGAAAAAGAGCCAAGCTATATGGAAGATATAGATTTTATTAGATTAATTAGACTACGGGCTTTATTTCAGGCCACTTGCTCCTAGATAAATTTTCACAAAATTTTCCTTACAAAAACTGTAAAAATTCAAAGTAAAATCTTCATAAAACTTCTAAAATTTTTTTGATCCTTTTTTGATGACGTCATCAAAAATGGTGACGTCATCATCTGACGGGGAGACCCTTGCTTCCCTTGAATCCAGGCCTTATCGGTCACAGGTTCCACTTCAGGGGGGAAAATCAGCCTGAAGTTGATCGTCTGGTCCTCCTTCATGTCCCCATGCTCCGCTCGAAGCCTCCTAGCATCCTTTCTTCCATGAAGTCATCCCGAATTTGTGCTTTTCTTCTAAGGGTCCAGGAAAAAGCCCAATTATGTTGGCAAAACGTACCCCGGACCTCCCGCAAGCTGCGGGCCCTCGGACCCTAGGCACATGGCACTAGGTGAGGGTTGCTTATCTGGCCATTTTCCGGCCAGATATAATAATGGAAGATATAGAAGAAAGTGAGGTGTCTAGCAGTTACATCCAAAGTGCTACCGAATTATCAAGCCTAAAAAGCTCAAATAACTTGCAGAGCTCCAAACTGGCTAGCGAAGGCGACAAAATGATTGATTTATATTTATATATCCAAATGGAGTATTGTGATGGCATGAATTTACGAGAATGGCTAGACCAGCCTAACCATAAGATCGACCGAGAAAGAAATTTACAGTTTTTCACTCAGATGCTGAAAGGGATTAAATATATTCATGAGCATGCCATAATTCATAGAGATTTAAAACCTGCCAATATTTTTATCAATGGAAAAGATAACGTAAAAATCGGGGACTTAGGCTTAGCTAGAGTTATGGTATCGTCTGAATATTCATATATAGAAGATTATACTGAAATTCTTAAATCAGCACTATCAATGAATATAGGGACTCCTTTGTATTTAGCACCTGAGCAGGAATTTAGCACCAATTATAACCATAAAGTAGATATTTTTTCGCTTGGGATTATTTTATTGGAGCTTTCACATAAGTTTGAAACTTACCATGAAAGGTATAGGATGCTGAAAGATGTGAGAGAATCCCATACTTTTCCAACTGAATTTATCAAAAATTACCCAATAGAGCATCAAATTGTGATGGCAATGACAGAGCCAGATCCGAAAAATAGGCCAGAAGCGATAGAAATTCTTAAGGGAGAGCTGATAAAAAATTGGGAAAAAAGTTTATAAGTAATGCTATCTTTATTTAACTTTACATTTATTTATATACTTATTAAATAAGTATTATCTGTTTAAAATATTTATTTTTTTAAAAAATTAATTATAGGATTTAACTATAATTTTATCGTAAAAATAAATTCCTCTTAATTTCCTGCTCTGTAGACTTTCAAGGATTTTTTCTATATCAGATTTCCAATTCTTTTCTGTATTTTCTACCATTTTAGAAAAACTGATTGGGTGTTTTCTTTTCTTAAGCGCAATTGGAGTTACTGGAGTTGGCTCTGGCTCAGGCACTAAGTTCCCCAAAGCTTTTCTTGTAATAGTAGAATGTCTTTTATGGTTCAGAGTCTGAATAGACCTCTCAACCTCATTATTGCTGAATTCGCAATTAATTTTGAGTGTTTTTTTCTTTGTTTCTGAATGCATAAGAAATGAAGGTTTTGGAAAGAGCTTGTAGCATAGCTCAAAGCCTTTAGATAAATTATGAGGGCTAGGCTCACCGAGTTGAGAATTCGATAGAATTGTTGTGGAGACTTTTTCTGTGGAATTGTTTATGGGCTGTTTTGGCGAGCTTGGTGGATTCCAAAAATGAACCTCAGACTGGGTTCTTGACACTTTTTTGCGGAGAGTTTTTGATTTTGGCTTAGAGCGTATAAGGAATGACGGAATAGAAGAAATGCTTTTGTTGTGTGGGGAAGCTAAGGAGTTGTTTAGTGAGATAGGTTTCCCATATGATTTATTCATAAATTATAACTTATGTTAATTGCATATTTATTTAGGATTAAATAGAATTATATCTGGTGAATAATAAGATATTTGAGTCGATTTTAAAAATTTAGCATTAATAATAAGCTATGATGCTGTTTTATGCTAAAATTTATTTTTAAATTATTGAAATTAATTTATTTTAATTAGAAATTAAATTAAATTATTTAGATAGTGATGATTTCACCTTCTTTACTCACACATATGTTTCCCAATGCTGGTCTTAATTTTTCAAGCTCTGCCATAAAGTCAAGCTTGTCAAGGTCATTTTCTGGTCACATAAAAATTAACAATTTTTTAATAATTTTGGTTTTAGGATTATTAGTAAAGTAAAAATTGCTAAAATTCAGCATTAAAATTAATAAAACACTAGCCATTTCCTTCCTCTTCTTCATCATCATTTATATGATGAGCTGGGCTGACATTTTTAGACTCATCTTCTTTTTGCTTTTTCCTCAATACTAATTTACAAAACATTGAGCACTTTCTGCAGCCTCTGCGACATAATTTTTTAGCATTTTTTTCTAATAAGAAGCCTACAAAATTGACATGTCCGCTCTCAGCTGCCTATGTTTAATTCTTACAATATGCAAAGCTGTTTTACCTGATGAATCAGTTAAATTTAATAAAGCTCCGTGGGCTACCAGGACTTGCGCACACTCAACCGACCCACTCTCCGCCGCTCTATGTAAAGGCGTAGCATAATCCACCTCCGAGATCAGATTCACATCCACTCCTGACATCATCAGCCCACAAAGCGCCTCTTTATTCCCCATCCTAGCGCATCTATGAGGTAATGGATCCAGCTTAGGCTTGCAAGAGACATTTTGAATGCCTCCACAGCAAGGACAGCGAGTAGTCGACGTCTTTGACTCCTTCTCCATATTAGTATAGAAATATATTTTAAAAAACTACTGGAATTTTTATGGAAAAAGTTTGTGTTATAGTTGAAAAAATTTGCGATAAAACGAATTGCAAAGCCATATTTTTTATTAACTCCCTTTAACTGACTGTGCAAAACTATTAGAAATTAGTCTTTTGTGAGCAAAATAAAATTGCTTGCTTAATAAGCAAAAAAATATTGCTCCCTTACCATCACTTTTTATTTAAAATTTTTATAATAAACTTATATAAAAATTTTTGTGGTAAAGATTTTAAACAAAAACAAATTTAATTTATATATTTTATGATTGTTAAAGATTTATATAATAAGCTTAAGATTTATTGTTTAATTCCTTTATTATATATTAAAATATATTGAATTTGAAGATGCGGAATTTTTAAAAAAATGACTACATTTTTACAATAATTTTTTAACTTACGAAAGAAATGGGGTGCAAGAAAAGAAGGAGATTTTATAAAGGGAGAAATTTGAATTTGAATTGTGCGGAATGCTAAATTAAATAATTTAATTAGTAGGAGCTTTATTTCCTTATCTATATTCATATAATGCTGATAATTAATCTTTAGCTTTTATTTTTTATTTAAGCTTTTAGTAATTAACATTTATTAAATTTATTTAAAATAAAATGATAATTATTAAAGATTTAATATGGAAATAATCTCATAAAATGAATTAATTATTGTGCACTTTAACCGAGGTTCTCATCTTCATCTTCAGCTGGCAGTGGAGCGTTTTGCAAGCTTGCGAGTTCAGCGTTTTCTCTTTCGATTTCTGCCATTTGTTCTGGGTCAATTTGGACATCTTGAGGAGCTAATACTGGAGCTTCGACAAGCATGAGATTAGCGTCTCCTGAGAGTCTTCTAGCGAGCCACAAGAATGGCTTTTCGAACTGATAGTTGGACTTGGCTGAGACATCGAAGTACTGGAGGTTGTGTCTTCTGTGGTATGTGATTTGTTTGGCTTTTACTTTTCTGTCCTTGACATCGACTTTGTTACCAACCAGCACAATTGGAATATTTTCGCAGACTCTTACGAGGTCTCTGTGCCATTTAGGCACATTTTTGTATGTGATGCGTGAGGTCACATCAAACATGATAATACCACATTGTCCTCCATTATAATAAAAAAGTAAAATGGTCTGATAAAATATAGTCAAAATGACAATGGGATTTAATATAAGAGCTATCCTAATAGAAGAAAGCTAGTTAAATTAGGTTCTCAATAGAAAACTAATAATTAATCAAAAAAAAACTCCAATATAATAGCCATCTCTAAGGCCTGAAAGTTTTTCTTGGCCTGCAGTGTCCCACACATTGAAGCAGACTGGACCGCGAGTTGTAAAAAATGTAAGTGGGTGCACATCAACACCTACGGTGGCGATATATCTCTTTTCGTATTCACCAGTCAAGTGACGCTTGACAAAGGTGGTTTTGCCAACACCTCCATCTCCGATTAAGACAAGCTTGAACTGCACAGGCTGTGGTGGAGCTTCCATATCTATTATTTATATATTGCGCGTAAATGGAAGATATTTTAGTTCCTATTTACACTATCAAATTTCCTATTTATGAGTCAAGTATATAAAATTAGAAATTCTTATAAGTTTTATATTTATAGCCAAATAATTCAGTCAATCAGAAATAAAATATTTTTCTAGAAATTAAGCAAATATTGCCCTTCAAAAAACTTAGTCTCAGCCTATATTAATTCTAAAACTTGGATATTAAATAAAAAGGATTAATTAATAAGCACCTTAGCCTAAATTCTCATCTTCATCTTCAGCTGGCAGTGGAGCGTTTTGCAAGCTTGCGAGTTCAGCGTTTTCTCTTTCGATTTCTGCCATTTGTTCTGGGTCAATTTGGACATCTTGAGGAGCCAATACTGGAGCTTCGACAAGCATGAGATTAGCGTCTCCTGAGAGTCTTCTAGCGAGCCACAAGAATGGCTTTTCGAACTGATAGTTGGACTTGGCTGAGACATCGAAGTACTGGAGGTTGTGTCTTCTGTGATATGTGATTTGTTTGGCTTTTACTTTTCTGTCCTTGACATCGACTTTGTTACCAACCAGCACAATTGGAATGCTTTCGCATATATAAAAATGGTTTGTAGAACAAAGATGGCCTCTTATCACTTGTAGCCAGATGGAGTCTGAGGATCTTGCAAAAGAGAGATCAGCATGCGGTGGGTGTGTCTGACCGAGTTTACTTGGCCTGATGGAGTGCAATGATGGGATGAAAGACAGTAAGCTCACATTCAGGGTAAGGTTCCACATCAGGGAAAGATGAAGTTCGGAAGTTGGAAATGGACAGCCCAGCAAGGCTAGCGGTGTGTTTACCAGGAGTTTAGTCCTGGGCTACGCACCCAATAGTCTGACGGAATGTAAGCACGAGACGTGAAAACCGACATGGCTGGCTGGGAGCTATTTGATAATAATTTAAGTTAAGCTAATGAATGTTTTCGCAAACTCTTACGAGGTCTCTGTGCCATTTAGGTACATTTTTGTATGTGATACGTGAGGTAATAGATTATAAACTTGCTTAATCCCCCTAATTAAAAAAATAATATTTATCTTTTACCTCAAAAAATTCACTCTTATTTAAAATATATATTAATAAAAAAAAGTTTGTTATAGCATTGAGTTAGTGAAAAAGGACTTTATATATTGCCTCGAATATTTTACCAAATTTTTTCGCAAATTTATATATCAAATGACTTTTTTTTGTTAAAAAACGTCTTAAACATAAAACAACTCCAGAAAAAAGCAGAGAGCCTAGGTAACATCGAACATGATAATACCGCATTGTCCACCATTATAATAAAAAAGTAAAATGGTCTGATAAAATATAGTCAAAATGACAATGGGATTTAATATAAGAGCTATCCTAATAGAAGAAAAGCTAGTTAAATTAGGTTCTCAATAGAAAACTAATAATTAATCAAAAAAACTCCAATATAATAGCCGTCTCTAAGTCCTGAAAGTTTTTCTTGGCCTGCAGTATCCCAAACATTGAAGCAGACTGGACCGCGAGTTGTAAAAAATGTAAGTGGGTGCACATCGACACCGACTGTAGCGATATAGCGTTTTTCATATTCACCAGTCAAGTGACGCTTGACAAAAGTGGTTTTGCCAACACCTCCATCTCCAATTAAGACAAGCTTGAATTGTACAGGCTGAGGAGCTTCCACCATGTCAAATTATTATAAGCCGTAAATGGAGCCATGGAGATTAGTCATTTAGGAGTAGGAAAAAGAAAATAATAGATGGCAAATTATAAGCTGCCGAATTGATAGGAAATTATTTTTAAATTGTGCTTATCCTGAATATTCTGGAATTATAAAGGTCTAGACTTCTATTTTCTAATTTTTGGTTTCTTTAACTCTAGAATTTTTATTTGATATTAAATCGCTTTTATAAAATTTAAACTATTTTAGATTAATTTCTAAATATTTAGCAGGACTTTCCCTTGGATTTTTGCATTTACCCATCGGACTTTGTACTGCTCTTTAGTTGAATTTTCTGAATGCACCAGTGAGGCTGAGATATCGAGGTCAGCTTTAGAAGGGCTATGGCATGAATATGCTGTAGATATCATGCTTAAGGCTCAAAACCATTATTATGAAAGGTGCAGGCCAGTATATAAAGATAGAGCTGTAAATAGCGGGTATGATGATTTTAATGCCCATTATAATGGAAATGCAATTTTTTATATTATTAGCGAAAATGGAGGAAACAATGAAGGTCATTATGATCCTATGCCAGAAGTTTGACAAGATTGGACTTTAGTTATGACTGATGAGTATGGATATGGGAAGCTTGATTTCTTAAGCAAAACAATGTGCATTGAACCAATATGGAGCTGTTAGTGGAGATATGGTAGATCATTGTGGCTTATAAAAATTAGACTAAGATTTTATTAATTATATTATTTTTTACATAGAATTTCGTATTTTTTTGACACAGAAATTTTCATACCAGTTGTATAACAGTCTAATCTAAAAATTTAATTTACTTAACTAAAATCCATTTTTTGCGCGTTCTTATAATATTAAATGGAGAGCCAAAAAGAAAGAGACAGTTCAAACAGTGAGAATTCACATCAAAGCTCACATTCAGCGACAACTCCTTTCTCTCAGATTTCTGGATTTTCATATACATCGCTTTACAGTATCTAAGTAACCTATGAGAAGCGTCAGCGAGGCTAGTTCAACAACTGACTGCGGAACACCAATATCTGAAAGAAGACCTCATAGTGAGCCCTTACCAAGCGATAGAAATAGTATGAGCTACGAATCTGACGTTTGGGAAGAGGACAAAAGGATTCATCAGCTTGACGCAGCAAAGAAAGGGAAAGGGCGCGGCTTAGTAGAAATCATAGAACCGAATTGGCAAGCTATTATATAAATTCTTGCAATAAAATAAGTTAATTGGCTATTACACTATATAAATCAGCTTAGATTAATAATTATTTTAACAGCTTCACTTGCAGATTTATAAATTATCCAATTGATGCAGTTCCCCAAATTTTTCATTTTCCCCAGAAATCCTCAGTTTACTTTTCAATTGAAAATTTAGATTCCCCCTTGTAATGTTCCTTGTACTCCTTGTCTGCGACTTTCTTGAAACAAATACCATTGGACTATCCCTTCCAAAGTGTGAATGCAAAATATTACAATTTTCTTCCCTCAAGCTTCCATTATCATTATAATTCTCTTTTATTTTATTCATCCTTATTAACTGCTGTGCTATGCTTATTTTCAGTTTGTCCCTTTTTTCTAATTCTTTCATCGTCACATTGCACAGATTTTCTATGTATTTTATGTTGCTTTTTTTCATTGTGTTGCTTAATGGAGTAAAGCTGACTTTATTTCCTAGACAAGTGTATTTTCTCATTAGATTTGTCGTGCTTGATAATAAAGATTGAAGGTTTGTTTCTTTTTGCTCTTTTTTGTTACTGCTTGCCATTATTTTCGCTGACGGTTGTCTCCAACACTCTGGTCTTAAAGGCTCTGGAGGAGTTGAGTTATAAGATTTTGACCTAAACTGCCTTGGGTCTATTGATATAGCTCTGCTAAACTTGTGCAAACTTCTGTTCAGCTTTTGTGAGGAGTTTAATAGGCTTCTTTTTGTTTCGCTCCGCTTTATAGCACTTGCCGATCTGCAGTTTCTTCTGAAATCAATTGTAAAATTTGTTATAGGAACGTTAATTTTTAACTGTTCGGCCATTTATCTTAACTTCTAACAACAATTTATATGCAAAAAATTAATAAGCTAGGAGGTATTGAGAGATGAATTTTCATTAAACTATTTTTGGTAGCTTTGATTAGACTTTCAGGCAATAATGGGAATTATTTTGATAGAAAATCTATTATTTATATTAATTTAAATAAAATAAATAAGGCATGTGATTTTGCTTGAAAATTAAAATTGATTATTCTTGAAGCTTGATTTAGGTTAAGATTGATCCCAAAGCTTAAATTATTTTATTATTGTGGTTTTTTTGGGATAATTGCTTTTTTTTATAAAATTATTGAATTATTTAGATTTAGAGCAATAAATTAGAAGGAGTTTTTTATATTAATAATTTAAACACTCAAATTGAGAAGCAAGTGGGGATAGGTAACGCTTGGGATAAAAGAATTTAATTATTATTAAATAAATTTCTTTTGGTTATGCCAGATACAGAGCTATTTTTTGATTTAATGCCAATTCAAAATCTAGGATTTATTTAAGAAAATATTAAAGCCTTTTAAATAACACTTAGTTATTCAAGCTGAGAATGAATTTATCCCCAACCTGTCAAATTTGACTAAAAGCTCGCAATCTTCATCAATTTTACTATTAAAATGGAAAGAAAGCTGGAAAATTCACTTTCGATTCCTGCTCTCATTTGAGCAGAAGAAACTGAATTACAACTCCTGCCTTCAAGCATCATATTTTTCTATGATTCAGAAACAAATCCTATCCAAATTCCTAATGAGAAAGAGTTTTTACAATTGTCAGTGAAAATTTACTTTTCGAAATTTCTCAAAAAAAGCTGACCAAAAGAAGAAAAAAGAAGTCTTTGTGAAATTTTGCACAGTTCTTAATGAAAACTTCCCTCCAAACACAGACAATTCCAGCAGATTCGAACAAAGAAACTCGAATTTTATGGCCTTAGACCCAATGAATCTTATGAAAAGAAACGAAAATTATAGTGTCAAGCTAAGGAAAGACCAGAGAAAAGATTTTTTTCAAAAGAAAAGGCTTAGATTAGATGCTAGAACTGAAGAAACAGAAGATGAAAATGAAATGCCCAATTTTTCTTTGCTAAATCCCAAAGAAAAACTCTTAGAACCTATTAAGGAAACCTTCAAATACTCCTATAAAGTCTCGGTGAGCGAAAAAATTCTAAAACTCAAGTTCAAACTAAGTATTAAGCAAGAACAAGCAGATATGAATTTAAGAGAAAAAAACCAATAATGAAATTTACAAAATTCAAAAAATTCTCTGAAGAAACTGAGCAGGAATTCAAACTACCATCTAAAATTGATGGAGATGTAAAGGATAAAACTGATGGAAAAAAGATGCCTGAAGAGAAATTTATATGAAGAACATGGAAAACAAGAAAAAGAAAAATTAATAAATTGGGACTTGCCCTGAAATAAAGGCCTCTAAGTAAGAATAATCTCTCTCTCTCATCAATTTTTAATTATAAATCCCTTTTCGCGGTGACTATTAATAATTTTTTACAATTAATGCATTCCATCAGCATTCACCCAGTCATCAAAATATGCAGTGCCCTTATGGAGTTTTAATGTTTTTATTTGTAAAGTTAAATAATATTTAGTATTCTAATTATAATATTCAAAGTTTAAAACTGCAATTCAGCTATTATTGATTAAGGCTTGAAATCTCTGCTTATTCACATAGTGACATATAAGTTAAATTTAAACATTTTTTATAAACAAATAGATTATTATATCATCAAAAAATACACAATCAAGTAATTGACAAAATTGCAGCATAATTTTGCCAGCAAGGTACAGCTACTCTGCTTTGACATCCTTAGGAGTTGGGATAGTAATTGTGAGTAACTTCTTTGAGCAAATCTACAATCTTCGAAATTAGTTAGAAGAATCGTTAAAAACAATTTCAAAAGAAATAAAGCAAAATTTACTGTGACATGATGCATCGAGTTAGACATTGAAAATTTAAACAAAAAAGCAAGCCCTTAGAGTCGAATATTCAGGTAGTTGCAATAATTAGCGCAAAAAGAAAACCTTTTTAAACATGGAAGAAATTAAAATTAATCACAAGAAATCGGAAAAATTATATTGACAGTGGAAAATTTTAAGCTATTATAAAGGTATATTAAGGGTCAAGATCAAAAGGAAAAAAAGCAACTGTTTCTAAGAAATCCGTTAGCTCAAAATATAATAAAAGCAATTCAAATCCCCTAAAGATATTCACGACATAAAAGAAACTATTATGAAAGCTAAAAGAATATGAATAAAATCGATAAACAAAAAGAAGAATTTTGAATAAAAGCTCTAGGAGAGCAATAATGAGCACCCAAAGATCTGGATTTTAAATATTAAAGAAAAATTGATACTGAGGAAAATAAAGAACTAAAGAGATCAGAAGAAAGCAAAGATTATAGTGTGTTAATTCTTCTAAAAAATGAGACGCGGCGACAAAAGATATTACCAAGAAAAAATTAAAAATAGATGAGATTACTCGAAGCTGGAGAGAAGATTTAAAAGAATTAAATGAATAGTTTTAATAAACAATCATTTTAATCTGATTTTCAAAATAATTTATAATCCATTTGAGTATTATGACATATTCAAAAATAAGCATGATACTCCTTCTCCTTCAACTGCAACAGGGTATTGTTTTATTCCTTCAACCTCACAGTCTTTAAAATAAATTGGCTTAAATGAGACTCCACCTAATTTTTGAATAAAAGATGACCTTACGTCGAAGCTCACAGCCATTGCATACCTTAGTTCATACAGATATCCAAGTGAAGCTGATAAAAACATTAAATCATAAGATAAATTTTTTCCATTGAATTCAGGCAATACCCCAACATCTGCCAAATAAAGAACTGAACTGCGGTCTAAAGTTCCTTGCGATAATTTCCCACTTCTATCAGGCTCGCCAAAGTTAAATGGAATGCTTTTATTAATAAGTTGTGCAAAATTCTTTATAATTCTCAATATAGAATTTACTATGATTTTTATAAATAATTCCCATTTGCAGATCTTATTTAAAACGAGAATAACTTTTCTCAAACCTCTTTTGAATTTGGCTTTAAATAAACAGGAAATTGAGGTCTTGATGCCCACGACATAGAATATAGCACTCCAGCTAGTTCTCCCTTTACTCTTGCAGCTACACTGAATTTCAAAAAATCAGTTTGCTCTGCAAGTTCTGGCAATACATAATCCCTTCATTCCTCATATGAAAAATCCACATACTTTTTAAAAGCAGAATGATACGCAAAGCATTGTGCAATGATTTCCCTATACCCTTGAAGCTGATTTTTATCAAAAATCTGAAACTCAATATCTCCTCTTTTCCATACAAAACCCCTCGAAAAATTTTCAAGCTCTAATTTATATTCTGGCATTGAATCTACAGCTTTAATAAATGATGGGCTTAGCTTATCCGCCTTAAAAAGCCAGCTTAAATCGCATATTTTAGTCGTTTTTGAAAAAGATCTGGCAGCTATAGGAAGCATTCTTATGAACTTATTTTTTATATAAGAAAATTAATTATATCTAGGCTGATCTTTTATGAGCCAAACATAGTCATCAACCTTCATAAGCGTCGCGCTATACTGGGTCCACAACACATGTGTCTCATTATAAACAAATAATTTTCCAAACCCAAAGTCATCAGCCATATATACTCCCCAATCCTTATAAGTAGGTGGCAAAGGCTCATTATGGCCTTCTCTATTCCCTGCATTTCCACTTAAAATATATAATGGGGCTTTTGCATTGATGTGTGTATGTTTGTCATCATAGTCACTTTTTACAGTCAAGTTCTTATAGATTGGCTTGTCTCTTTCATAGCTATGGACATGGGCTTGTAGCATAATATCTATTGAATTTTCATATAAAATATCTTCTAAAATGCTCTGATATAGCTCAGCTTCAGACCCACAAGTAACAGCAGAGTGTGTTGAACAATAAAGAGGATGGTGGGTAAGGACAAAAATCCATGGAAAATTCTCTCTATTTTTATTAGCAGCTTCTAAGTCTTTTTTCAGTCAATTAGTTTGGATTTCTGCTGATGCTTTTTTGGTGTTGTCTATATAAACTTCAGTACTTATAACTATCCAATGGACTGGCCCTATATTAAAAGAATAGAAATAGCCAGATCCTTGGTTGTCTTGGTTTACTGGCATTTTGAATCTAGTCCTAAAATGAGTAGAATTATTGTAACCTTCATGGTTTCCAATTATTGCCATATACGCATAGTTTGCAGCCAAAGGTTGAATAATATTCAAAAAGCCGTCACCTGTAGTTCCGTCGTCTTGATCGAGATTATAAGCGATATCTCCCATATGAATAATCCCTAAAAAATTTCTGAGCTTGGCTTCTTGGAGTAAAATGTCCTTTACTGCCATTGCATTGGTCCCAATCCCTAAATCACCGAAAACAATCATTGATAAAGGTCTTTTGGTCTCTAAATAGGGTGGACTTGTCTCTGGAGTCCGACCGCTAAACATATAAATTTCACTTTCTGTTATGGAATTTCTTATATAATATTCATAGCTGCATTCACTATTAAGGTTATTCATGACAGCGGTATATATGTATTGGAACTTCACCACAATTTCGCCTTCGTTAAAAGTTTGGGAAGTCCCTTGGATCGTCTTCCAAGTTGTGTCTTCACCTAAACAGAGAACTGGACGATATACGACAAATGAGTCTACACTGATGTATGAGACCCAGGTGACACGCATTTCTCCCTTGTTCTCGGTTCAGGAAATTCTGATTTGCTCAGGCTTGTAGATCCCCGCGTTTACAAGAGTGAGGTTTAGGAAGAGGATGAATTGGAATAGAAAAAAAAGGTTAGACATTAATAATTGATAAGAAATTAGGTTAATATTTTTTGAAACCAATATAAAAAATTAAGAGATTTTATGAATTAGTATTTTAACTTTTAAAATTAGTACAAATATTTTTTAGATTAAATAAGACTTAATTATATTAATTTTCGTTTTTCCTTTTAAGTTTTAGTCATTTATATCGTAGAAATTATTTTTATTAAATTTTAGCCTATGCAACTTTAAATAAGCAACGCTAGATAATAAAATGGATAGCTGTGCAAGCAATGATGCAAATAATCAGATTAGCAGTGATCTTCCATCACTAAAAGATAGAATAGAAAAATTCTATTTGCGGTCGAGTTGTCAACTTGTCTATGCTCAAGCCTTTATCAGAGGGTATTTGGCTCGTAAACATACCAAACAAAACAAACCTAATCTATAGTTCAAATAGCAACAAATTTCAGAACTTTCAAAGCTTACTTTGGTGCAAAGATCAGTGACGAAGTCTATCAGGAGCTTGAAGGTAACGGAATTTACTTAAAAGCTGAAGATATAGGGCCCTCTTGAATCAGGCTCACGGAAGGGGGAGCAGATGAGATATATTTGGAGAAATTAACGAGAAAAGAATTCCTAATGGGCGTGGCATTAGAATTTGCCTGGAACAAGACTCCAAATGTATTTATAAAGGCGACTGGCATGATGGCCAATATCATGGCTTACCATTGGGTTTGGCAATTTCAATTTGGCACGCCTCACGTCTCCTTCACAAAATGTCTACATGCTTTTTAGCAGATTTTTTTGTTTTCTATTTAACAGACCTATTTAATTTGACCTTTTTTGTTTAGCCTATTTATCAAATTTTTAAAAAATTACTCTTAAAATAACAAACTAAATGAGTTAAAAATTACTTCTTAATAATCACTATGGACCTTTACAATTTGACCCAAAACGAATCAAAACAATTTAAGGCAGAAAATAAGCCAAAAAAATAAAGCAAAAAATATCGGTTAAAAAATTTAGGATAGAAAAGGTCAAAAATATAAGCACTAAAATTCGCTGTAGGTATCGTGCGAAATCATAAGCCTCACGGACTTGCCAGAAACTGAAGTGATGAATACTAATATTATGGATTCTTTAAAAAAGGTATGCAGCATGGAAAAGGGTGAATCGTAATCTCAAATGGAATGCTGTAATTGGCACCTTCCTTTTGCACTCAGCTATAGGAAAAATAGCATTAAAGGACAAAAATGGAAATATCTAGAAAGGACATGCTGCTAATTACAAAAAATCAGGATCCGGTAGTCTTGAAATAAAAGGAGAAGGCTGATATAAAGGTAGGTTTATAGAGCCATTGGCAACTTTCTTTTTATATCTTAATCAGGAGAATGCAGAAAGCTTACCGCAAATCAAGGTAAATTTGTATTTTTCATGGAAAATTTGCCAAAGTTATATTTAGGAAGTGCAGAAGCAACCCAAATCGCTGAAGAACTGAAAAAGAAAGGAATTCGAAATATAGTTCGTGTTTTATGCAATGATTAAGATTAAAATTAAAGGGCTTAAAGTCTTCCAGATTTGATGCCTCTGCACGCTTTCGACTACCGGAACTCTGGTTGCCGAGAGGAATTCAGTTGCCTGAACCCTATCAACGGCATCTCCTCGGACCTGGGGCTTGCACCGATATGCCAAAGTCTCAATAGGTTAGGAAGACTCCTCTTGCTGCACGTCTTTGTGGGTGCTATGAAGGCAAAGGTTAGCCCAATGCCTTCTGTCGGCCACCTAGAGGGTCAGTAACATCCAAAAAAAACTACAGCACCCGGAGCGGGTAGGAAAAGACCCGCAGTCCAAAAACCATCCGGATAATTAACACTTGGACTGGAATGGCACCAGTGACTCCCAAGAACTACCCACCCCGTACAGCAGGTTCTAGGCCAGGCTAAGGGTTAGAATTAAAGGGTTTCTGCCTTGGTTTAGGCTATAAGCCATTTTAGCACCCGAAGTGGTGCGACCTCCGTCAGGGCATTTTTTGTCACCACCATATTAATTATTTATGCAATGAGGATGCTCAAAAAATCCCTGATATAAACTACCACATTATCCCTGCAAATGATAGTGAAAAAGAAAGCATTTCTCAGTATTTTACTGCAGCAATAAAACTCATTCACAATGCATTGCAATCTAATGAAAAAGTGTTGGTTCACTGCTTTAAGGAATATCAAGAAGCCCAACAATTGTATTGGCATATATAATTGCTGCTCAAAAGGAGAGCTTAAAATCAGCTTGAAATTCAATTAAACGCAAAAGACCAATTGTGTGCCCAAATAATTGCTTTATAAAGCAGCTGAAGGATTATGATTTCAGTAAAATAGCGTTGTAATTAAATATGGCATCTAATTATGCTTCAACTATAAATTTCATGCAAATAATGATATATTAATTTTTATTTTATAAAATATTTTTATAAGTTTAATATTAAATTTGATTGAGGAAGTTTTATTGTGTTATATTGCATTAGTCCAACCGATTTTAGGGTTTTTGGCTTTTCTTCTTCTATATAAAAATCATTACTTCTTTATTTGAAATTGAGCCAAACTGTTGAGCCAAACTGTTGAGCCAAATGTTGGCTCGTAGCTTTTTGTTTTTGGTCTGTGCCATCCAGGATTGACTCCCCCTCTGTGAGCGAACAAAAAATTTTGTTCGCTCAAGGAGGGAGGCTAATGTTTTTTTGAAAAATTTACATAGAAATTTTATAGAACTTTTTTTTTTTAAAAAAGTTAAAAATATTCTAATTTATAAAAATTGACAAGCAAATATTAATTAATTTATGAATTTAAGTTTTAAATGAAACCTGTTTAAAAATCAACAGAATTAGCTCTAGATTCATTATACTAATTATCACTTATATATAAAAATTTTTTTCAATAAAACACTTTTTGTTCGCTCACGGAGGGTAAGTTTTTGGTCAGAAAATAGGATTTTTCTAATGGTTTTGCTTGCTCACAAATGGGGGAGTGAGTATCTTCTTTTTCTTGCCTATTAGTTCGCTTGCACTTCTTTTATGTCTACTTCCCTTGTGATAGTCGATTGATGATTCTATGCTGCTATTCTATTACTTTAGTCTTTTAATGGACTCTCCAGGTGAGACATTTCCAGGTCTGTTTTTCCTGAGTTGCTATATATATCAGATAATCCTGGAGAGCTCAAACTTTCATTTCTCGTGCTGCTATCAACTTCTTGCAGACTCTGAGGAGTTAGTTTTCTTCTTCGATGCTCATTTTATTTATCAAAATGCTACCCCCCTAAAGGGGTTTAAATTTATTTTTTAACAAAAAAAATATAATTTAAATTTTTTCTCTATAAAAAATTTAAAATCTTAAAAAAATTAAGCACAATTTATAAAAAATATTAATTTATTTAGTTATAAATAAACATCTATTGTCAACTTTTCTATTAAATTAGGTCAAAACTGATTTCATAAAAATTGAATTTTCATCAATGAAATTTTCCTATTGAAAAACAAATTTTGCCCTATAAAAGGGGGCTTAAAGTAAATTTTGCTATCTTTATCTATTATAATCTGTAATGTTTTTGAAAGTAATGAATAGCATTCCATTAAAAATATAGCAGCTTTGAATTAAATAAGCGAGATATCTCTAGGCGAAGCATCTCTTAATATATGAGATATTGGCTATTTTTTTATTTCAAGACTAATCATTCAGCTAACTAAACGATATGGAAAGGCCTTGCTCAAATAGACAATATTGAAAGCTTCCTGATCACTGATTGTTGTAAAGGTAAAATATAATGCAGAACTGGGGATATCTATAAAGGGATGCAGTTAATTACAAAAATTCAGGACTTGGAGTTCTGGAAGTTAAAAAAGCAAGGAAGCATAAAAATAAATTTTAAAATTTACCCAAATAAGTCAACAAAATTCTCTTCAATGTGCTACTATGGCTATTTGAGACAGAAAGCTGGTGTATTTAGTATTTATTACCGAATAAGCGAGGTATATAGCCACGAATAGTGAGGAATTAACACTGAAAATATTTTATCCTAGTATCAAACTTTAACTGTCTTGAATATTTACTAACAACAAATGAAATATTTGCTTCATCAAATATAGGCATCTGGTAAAGTAGCTCATGCAATAAAGTCTATTGAAAAGATTATAGTACCATAATCAATAAATGAGATATGAATTGGGGGAGTAAGCATTGTGCCTGTTCCTAAGTTCAGGAAAGATGAATTTGTTCAGGCTAGAAAAGCGTCCGAGAACAAGAGAAATGCCAATGAAATAATTTAATTTACTCATTATAAATCATGAGCATAATGAAGCATTATTAAATTGCCTAGGCAAACAAACGATTAAATTTAAAAGTACCAAAAACTGCTGCATTAAATTACTTTAAAAAAACCCAATGCCCTTTTTAAAAGCTTGGGGTGTCCCTTGGATCGTCTTCCAACTTGTATCTGCACTTGGACAGAGAACAGGACGATATACGACAAATGAGTCCACATTGATGTATGAGACCCAGGTGACAACATTTCTCCGTTGCTCTCGGTTAGAAATTCTGATTTGTTCAAGCTTGTAGACCCCCCATTTACAAAAGTGAGGTTTAGAAAGAGGACGAACTCGAATAGAAAAAAGGCTAACATTAATAATTGATAAGAAATTGATTAATATTTTTTGAACAAGATTATATAAAAAATTAAGAGATTTTATGAATTAGCATTTTAACTTTAGATTACACAAGACTTAATGCTCATTTTTTCTTTTAAGTTTTTATTCATTTTTATCATAATAATTATTAAATTTAAGCCAACTTTAAATAAGCAACTCTAGATAATAAAATGGATAGCTGTGCAAGCAATGATGCAAATGATCAGGTTAGCAGTGATCTCACATTACTGCAAGATAGAATAGAAAAGTTCAATTTGGGATCAAGTTGTCAACTTGTCTATGTTCAAGCCTTTATCAGAGGGTATTTGGCTCGTAAACATATCAAACAAAACAAACCTAAATCTATAGTTCAAATAGCAACAAATTTTAAAGCTTTCAAAGCTTACTTTGGTGCAAAGATCTGTGACGAAATCTATCAGGAGCTTGAAGATAACGGAATGTACTTTAAAGCTGAAGATATAGGGCCCTCTTGAATCAAGCCCACGAAAGCTGGAGTAGATGAGACATATTTGGGAGAAATTAACGAGAAAAGAATTCCTAATGGGCGTGGCATTTGAATTTGCATGGAAGAAGACTCCAAATATATTTATGAAGGCGACTGGTATGATGGCGAGCATCATGGCAAAGGAAGAAAGATAAATAACCTTGGCTTGCTTTATGTTGGCGACTGAGTTTACGGGAATAGGCATGGAAAAGGTTTTATTCGCTATCCCAAGGGCAAATGCTATGAAGGAGATTGAAAAGATGACCGTTGCCATGGGTTTGGGCACCAATGGAATACTCGTAATATCCATTGGGACGGGCAATTTCAATTCGACAGACCTCACGGACTTGCTAGAAGCTGAAGTGATGAATACTCATATTATGGGTTCTTTAAATATTTGATGCATCATGGAAAAGGGTGAATGGTACTCTCAAATGGGACACAGTATATTGACACCTTTCTTTATAACTCAGCTATAGGAAAAGGAACATTAAAGTACAAAAATGGAAATATCTACAAAGGATATGTTGCTAATTACAAAAAATCAGGATTCGGGACTCTTGAAATAAAAGGAGAAGGCCTATATAAAGGCAAGTTTAAAGATGACAAAGCCGTTGGCGACTTTCTTTTTATATCTTATTCAGGAGAACGCAAAAAACACCACATTCAAAGGAAAGTACCAGGAGAAAGCCGAATAAAGGAAGGCGAAGCGGCCCAAGATGTTGAAGAATTGAAAAAGAAAGGAATTCGAAATATAGTTCGCGTTTTATACAATGAGGATGTTCAAAAACTTCCTGATATAAACTACCATATTATTCCTGTAAAAGATAGTGAAAAAGAAAATATTTCTCAGTATTTCCCTGAAGCAATAAAATTCATTCACAATATATTACTATCAAATGAAAAAGTATTGGTTCACTGCTATAAAGGTATTTCAAGAAGTCCAACAATTATTTTAGCCTATATAATTGCAGCTCAAAAAGAGAGCATAGAATCAGCTTGAAATTTAATTAAACACAAAAGACGAATCGTGCGCCCGAATTCTGGCTTTATAAAACAGTTGAAAGATTATGATTTTAGTCAAATAGCGCTATAATTAGCTGGCATTCAATTTTACGATTTTACTTTAATTTTAATGAGAATATTAAAATTTTCAATATTCACCTTATAAAGCATATCTATTAAACTTAATGATTTTAATTGGGGATTATATATATACATTTGATATATTATTACACCATACTTAATTTTCTTTGTCTTCCTCATGTACTAACTCCCCAAAATAAAAAAACGTAATTTTTTCCTGGGTTAACAGCAAAAAATCTTGAGTGCTAATCTGTTTACCTAAAAAAAGGTTTTTACACTGATTTATTTAAAATTCTCTGTGTCCATCAGCATATCTAATATAAACTGATCTTTTATTATGTTTGCAATACGCTTGAACCGCTTTTAGAATTCTTGGCTTTTCAATTCTTTTCCAAGCATATTCACTTCCATTTTCGTTTCATAAATACATGAGAAAAAAAATAATTTATAAAGTGATTCTTATTTAAAAAATTCAATGCCAAAAGCTAAATTCAATGTAAAATGCAATTCATAGTATTTTTTCTATAATTAATAAAATCTTAGTCTATTTTTTATAAGCCATACATGGTCTACCATATCTCCACTAACAGCTCCATATTGTGTTCAATGTACATGAGTTTTGTTTAAGACATCAAGCTTCCCATACCCATACTCATCAGTCATAACTAAAGTCCAATCTTGTCAAACTTCTGGAATAGGATCATTATGGCCTTCATTATTTCCTCCATTTCCACTAATAATATAATCATTTATACATCATTTCTACCATTATAGCCCATACCTATCATCTCCAATATAAAAGGAAGGTATCTTAAATTTAAATTTAATTTAATAAAGTCATTATAAAAATTGGCACATTTTGGTATTCCAATTTTAACGCCTCCCTTTGAGGCAATCTGTCTTGGTCCTTAACTAATTATTGCATTTTTTCAGTAAATAAATCTATATAGGGGCTATTTTCCTTATCTAAAATAGCCCATAGTTCGCTATTTCTCCAAAAACCCTATACAAAGTTGCATTTGCATTATAATGGGTATTAAAATCATCATACTCGCTCTTTACAACTCTATCTTTATATATTGGCGTGCACCTTTCATAATAATGATTATGAGCCTCAAACATGATATCCACAGCATATTCATGTCATAGCCCTTCTAAAGCAGACTTCAATATCTCAGCCTCGCTGGTGCATTCAGAAAATTCAATTAAAGAGCAGTACAAAGGCCGATGGGTAAATACAAAAATCCAAGGAAAAGCTTGTCGGTTCTGGTTAGCGATTTCTAAGTCTTTTTTCAATCAGTTATATTGTGTCAAAATTTGGTCAGGGTGGTCTGAAATATACATTTCAGTGTTAATCATAATAAAATGAGCTGCCCCTAAGTTAAAAGAGTAAAAAAAACTTGTTCCATCATTAGCAGAATTTAAAGGCATTTTGAATTTGGTGCGGTAATGGGTTAGATTATGCTTTAATTCATGGTTTCCAGGCAAAACCATGTAAGCGAAGTTTGCTGATATGTCTTGTATTGAGTTTAAAAACCTATCCCCGACCATCCCGTCGTCCTCATGCATATCATAAGCGATATCTCCCATATGAATAATCCCCAAAAAATCCCTGACCTTGATTTCCTGCATAAGATAATTAAAATATGGCGTCTTCGTCTGGGCATGGCCTCCCGGCCATGCATACTCGACTCATATTTTAATTATATCCGGCAAGGTTTTGCATTTCAGAAACGGGACGGCAATGCTAGGTAAGCAATTCTGGTTGTGCTCAGAGCCTAGCCCAGGTCTACTTTCGGGAATGTTTTTTTCCTCATGGGGAAGGAGGCAAGCAAGTTGGAAAGGGGAAGCTCAGCCAAGTCCATTAGGATCAATCGGGCAACTCCCTAGCGTGAAACTGGGCGTTACGTCCCAGGCTTCGTGTTTTTCCTTTTTGCCGAAAGCCTACCAGAAAATCCATTTTTTATGGATTTTCGGAATGGCAACCCATGTCCTCAAGCGAAGTAGCTCAGGCATGAGCCGCCTTAGTCGGCAACACTGCTCCGGAGGCGCGTACTGGAGATCGAGGCTGACTGACCCCAGACGGTCCGCGGGCCCTATGCGACGAAGAAGCAGCGGAAAGCTCTGGGGGGGGTTACCCCGTGAATGGCGTTAAACACAGAGCCTAATAAGTTAAGTTAAGATTTCCTGCATAAGACTATTTTTCACAAAAAGCGAGTTTTTCCCAATTCCTAAGTCCCCATAGACCACCATTGATAATGGATTTTTGGCATCTTGGTATGGTTCTGAGGCATCTGGAGTTCTCCCACTGAACATATAAATTTCGCTTTGGGTCATTGAAGTTTCGATAAAATACTCATAAAAGCATTCTGGTCTTAAATTTGGGATTACCGATGTGTAGATGTACTGGAGACGGTATATGATTTCGCCTGCATTGAAAGGAGTGCAAGAAGATGGGGCTGAAAGTCAGTCAGGAATAATATCTGACTCCCCCCCCCCCTCCGTGAGCGAACAAAAAAAATTTTGTTCGCTCACGGAGGGGGGTTAATTTTTTTTTTTAAAAAAAATTTTATATATAAATTTTATAAAAAAAAATATTTTTTTCGAAATTTAAAAAAATCCTAATTTGCAAAAATGGGAAGCAAATATTAATTTAATTTGCAAAATTTATGTTTTAAAAACGCAATTTGTTTAAAAATTAAACAGAATTAGCTCTAGATTTCATTATACTAATTATCACTTATATATCAAAATTTTTTTCCATTAAAAATTTTTTCTATTAAAAAATTTTTGTTCACTCACGGAGGGTGGGTTTTTGGTCAAAAAATGGCGATTTTTCTAATGGTTTTGTTCGCTCACGGAGGGGGGGGGAATGAGCATAAAATTGGGCGATATCTGATATAATGTTTGAGGATTAATAGGGGTTTATTTATTAAAAATATTGGTATTTTATGAAAATTGATATAAAAGTCTCAAGGTTTAGGAAATTTACCCAGGTGGCTCGCATTTCATTTTCGTTCTCAGTTCAAGAAAGATGAATTTGTTCAGGCTGGAAAAGCGTGCCGAGAACAAGAGAAAGACTGATGAAATAATTTAATTTGCACATTATAAATCATGTGCTAAATAAATTATTATTAAATTAACTGGACAATAAAACGATTAAATTTAAAAGTACTCAAAACTGCTCCAATAAAATGCTTTAGAAATAGCCCAATATCAATTATACACTTAATTTGACTTCAGAAATTGCAATTGATAGTGATTGAAAAATTCCATCTTAATTTTACAAAATTCTTATCTTCCTTCAAAAATATACAATACTCCTCAATGTTATATACAGTCAAAAATTTCTATTTACCCACGCTATAATTTCTATTTTTTTATTTACCAAAAATCATTATACAGAAATGAAACATACAAGTCTATCATTTTTATAAATCCCAAAATCTGACCATTTTTTGTTTCCAAATAAAAATGTCTTCTCATATCCTAAAAACACAAAAAATATTTTTTAGCTTTCTCTTTACTTCAATTCAAAAAAATCAATCTAAACCTAGCCATTAAATAGTAGTTTTAAATTAATGGATAAAGATAGCAATCCTTTAGAGACAGATCACGACTTAGAAGAGATCAATGAACTCATGTAACCCTTACGCAGCAAAAACTTAGAAGAGCAGCGCAGCAATTATGAAAAACAAGGCGAGTTCTTAGAAGCAGAAAAAACCCACCAAAGGATTCTCCAGCTCAAGCGTGACCACAAGGATCGTCGTGAAGCCAAGCTTCTTGACCGTCAAAACAAAGCCTTAGAAGAGCTCGACAACACCTTTAACGAAGAATTCAAAAATTTTAACGATGACTGGGATTCTCGCATGGAGAAGTATCGTGAAGAATGCAAAGAGCTTGAGAACCAGCTGAAGCAGAAGCAGGAAAACGAGTACGAGACCACTAAAAAGTCCTTAGAAGACTCCATCCCTATCATCCCTAAGCATTCTTCTGAATTCTTGAACCTCAAAAGAATCCAAGACACCTTGGTTACCAAGCACGAATACGTGGAAGCCCACGCAATTCAGCAACAAATGATAGAGCTAGAAGAAAAGGAAAAGGAAAATTGGGGCCAAGATAGAGACAGCCAAATTAAACAAGGTTTAGCAGCCCTGCAAAAGAGGCAGGATAATGAATTGCAAGCATTTAGGCAAAAAGCGAAAAATGGTTTTGACGAGATGAAGAAAACCAAGGCAGTGGAAATGGAAAGTTTGCTTAAAAAATACCAAAATATCAAAAAAGAAATGCAAAACGCCCATAGGAGAGAGAAAAATAGGTTTGATGGAAAGCATACAACTGGGTCAGGGATTTTTATTTCTGAGACCACAGGGACTAAAAGTGTGTTTTCTGGGAGGGCGACTTTTTCAGGGAGGTCTCAAAGTGGAACTTTTTCAATGAGACCTCAGAGTGCAACAAGCCGCAGCTTTGAACCTAAAGAAATTATTCTGGTTTATAAGAATAAATTTAAATAAAATATTATTTGCATTTAAATATGTATTTATATAGAAGAGATTAGTTAAATAGATAGTTGTAATTAACCATCCTTCTTATAAATTTAACCAAAATGATTTTGCTGCTAATAGCTTAGTCTTTGCAGAATGTTCTAGCAAAATTGTAAAATTGAGGAAGGAAACTGTATTAATTGACCCAATGATTAGAAAAGAGATCTTAGAGAAAATTTTGGAAAATCCTTCATGCGAAAGTAAAGTAAAAGGATTGGTTAACTTGCAGATCAAGGATAATCTCTCCAGCGAAGCAGATGAGAATGCACCCTGAAGGGAATGGAAATCAGCATTGATCTTGTATTATGACTGATTTTAGTTAAGTGTAACATTGAACCCAACAGATAACTCAGTGATGAGGAGGCGAGCTTCCTTGTGAGAGAAAAATTTTATAGGAAAAGTAAAACTGTGATATTTTTAGATCAGTTTATATGTGATGAATGCACTTTGCAGAGTATTTAGAAAATAATTTTGGAGATATAAGAATTTTTGCTGAAAAATTATTTAAATGTTTTAAATAAAAAAATAAGGCATTTATGGAAGCCCCAATATTGGAACTTTCTATCAATGCTGCGAAATTCAAGTCAGATTAGGCAATAGCATGACCACTTTGGAAAATACAAAAAAGGATGAGTATGCAAAGATGGGCACTGTTGATGCACAGCTGCTATTAAGGCTAATTTTGCCCATATCCAACTGAAGATGCCAAAAAGGGAGAAGTTACCATCGTGGGATATCTAGTCACATTTTAAATACGATTAGTTAGCAATTTTTTCAAATTACTTTTTACTTGGTTTTTTATTAAAGCAAGATTCCTTTTCCTTCAGTATAAAGTTTCATAGGTGCTCATTTTCTATGAATGCTTAAGAAAAGAAAGAGCTCTCAGAGGAAGATAAGGATAGTGATTCTCCGAAGGTAATAAAGAAAGACTAGCTATAGAATCTAGGAGACTAATAACAAAACAATTTATTATTAGCATAAATTAATGAATCTGATATATTATTAAAATACATAAAGAAATTAGAAAGATTAAAATAGAATTAAGCTTATATATAAACAAGAATAAAACAAGTTTTCGAAATTCTCCGTATAAAAAATGTTTTATCAAAAATAGTTATCCTCAATAATAGCTTTCCCTCTTTTATTTTAACATGAGAAAATGGCATCACAATAAAAAAGGGGTTACACTGTTTTTTTTCATACAAGACTGCTATTCACTCTTCACTAAATTAATTTTAACGAGCAAGGTAAAGCCCTTTTTATTTACCTTAGTCCCCAATTTGTTATTCTATTATTTGCATAGTTTTCCATGCATTGCCAATTATTCCTACATTTATCAGTGTAATTCTGTATATCATAAAATTTTAACCGAAATTTTTACTATTTCCAAATAAATTAACCACTATTTAAATTTTTTTTAATGTAAAATGCATGATATTCTATATAAAAAGGTATGAATAGTGTACAAAATTTCCATTTTTGGATAAAGAAATATAAAACAATTAAAGATGGATTTTGATTTAAAATGCAATGAAAAAACAAGCTCAAGCCTGATTGAAAGCTTAAATGTTGAAGAGGAGCTACAGTTATATAAGCATAAACTTCAGTCAGATGAGAAACTTGATCTTGAAGAACTCATTGAGGGCCCATCTCATACTAAATTTAAAATAAAGATCTTAAGGTCTTCAAAATTGATGCTTCTGAACGCTTGCGGCCACCGAACACTTGCTTATCAAGGTAGCATCGGCTGCCTAGGCCCCATTAACAGCAGTCTAAGGGCCTGCACTGCGTCCCTGAATTTTTACCAGTTAGGAAGACACATGACCACCTTGAGGAAGGGTGACACAACAAAAAAAAGTCATAGCCTCCGGAAAAGGCAGTGAAAAGAACCCGCTGCCCAAAAACCATCTGGATAACTAATACTAAAACTGGAATGGCCACCAGCTGACTCCCAAAGCCATCCACCCCCCATAGGGCCTGAGCCTTGGCTTATGCTATAAAGCCATTTTGGTGCCCACAAGCGGAGCGTCATCAGTAAGGTCATATTTTTTCACCATTTATTAATATATCTCATACTAGGCTTCTTTGTGCGCAGACCTGATTTTGGCCATCTCTCAAGGCTTTTTACCCTAATGACAATTGTGCTTTTTGAGCGGGCGCTCGAAGAAGCTCTGATTTCTACAGATAGTAATATTGTCATTGGAGAAGCTATGGGAGCCCTGGACTTTGCGATCTATTATATCAACAATTATTTCGTTTATACAATTTTGGCAATAATTGCAGCGGTTCCGATTGAAGCTTTTATGATAGCTTCTCTGAGCTTTAAAAGAAAGCAAGTGTCGAATTGGGCTACTGCTTCATTTGTGGTTGGAATTTTAGTTATGATAATATCGGCTATTGGGATTTTTTTTATGAGTCCCCAAGCAGGAAATGAATGGAATAGGCTATGGGCTGTAAGTTTTATGGTCGGGATTTTGCTAGAAGTTAGTATCATTGAGAGCTTTTTCATGTTTGCTAGATACTTTTTTATCCAAAGTTTTGGACATATTGAAAAATAAAAATCAAATAGTGTTTTTATCTTAAATAAATAGTTCTCTCTATTATACTTTCTATAGGTCAAAATCATGCTGCGAAATTATTCATGAGCACTTGGCATTGCTATAATGCAGAGAATACCTTGAATTCTTAAAATCTAAGCACCTTTCTATAGTCTTTTTTTTAATCAAACTGAATAATTTTTCGCTAGTATACTATTATATGAGCTTTTTAACCTTATTTAATTAATTTACAGGCTCAATTTAAAAAAAGCAAGAAATGTTATCCAATTTAACTATCAGGTACGGCAAATAATCCTAAAAAAACGAAAATAAATAATATTTGTTGAGCTTTCAAAATACACTTGTGCTTTATTCCATTTATATTTAATATTAAATATTTTAGTGCAGTCAAATTTATTTACTTTTTTAATTTATTATGCTGATGCTAAAATATCAAGCTATTTCTGAATAAACTTTTAAATATTTTATTCAATGAGGCTTCAATTTTATTTATAATTAAGATTTAAATTATAAATCTTATCCTTATCTTCTAGATAGTTAAGGTATTAATGAAAAATGAGCCATAATTTAAATTTGAACTTGCTAGCTGGGAAATTAAGTTTAAATCTTAAGAAATAAAATCATGATTTATTTTATTCTTTTTCTCTAATCATTTCGTAAAATTGAAAAATAATTAAAATAAAGTTCAGCGAGGATAAGCCAGTACTATTGACTCACGGAAAATACTTCTGACTCATAGAAAATGACTTTAAAGTTAAATTAAAGAGACGAGAATGTGCGGCATTTTATACAACATGAGCGAACTATTAAATTGAGTATTCCCCAGGAAATAATCATGAGTAAATAAGACCATTGAGAAGCTTGAAAAGTACATTCAAGAGCTCGATAAATCATCAGAAGTTTCAGAAGAGATTATACAAAACCTCGATGCTAGGCTCAATAATAGAAGTAATTAAAATGGTTTATTCTATAAGAGCTTGAAACTTTATTCAATTTTAATATGAATTGAATAATCTATATATAGCACGTTTAAATAATAAAAGAAAATTCGATTTTGATGTTATAGAATTTCTATCAATTAATTTATAAAGGTGAGATATTAAGCAGCTCTAGCTTGAAAATAGCATTGAAATACTTGAATAAGGTAAAATTGTTGATTAGATGAACAAATTTAGGCACTGGAAAAGTCTGAAAAATGCTTCAGGTAAGTTTTATGTAATTTAATCCAAAATTTTATTGACTGATAAAGAAGAGGTCAACTAAATATGAAGTGTTTATGGTATTTTCTCCAAAAATTTTGAGAGTAACCAATATTTTTCGTGAGATTAATTAAAGTCCTAATAGTTATTTATCTCATTATTTTATATATTTGTCAAAAGGCCCGAAACTCTGAATGACAAAGTATCTTGCAAACATAAAAAAGCTTTCGACGATGCCAGCTTCTAGCAATATTCCGGTAAAGAAGCTTAAGCCCCACAACGCGTACCATTCAAAATCCATCTGGGAGTTCATAACAAAAATCCCAACAACAGATCCAATCATGATCAAAATTCCTATCACAATTGAAGCTGCAGCCCAATTCGATGTTTGTTTTCTGTTTAAGCTCAAGGAAGCTATCATAAAGGCTTCAATCGGTATCACTGTAATGACTGCCAAAATGGTATAACCCAGGTACTTGTTTATGTAATTCGAAACTAAGTCTTGGGATCCCATAATTTCAGGGTTTTTGAAAAAATATCCATTTTTTGGTAGAAATTTTGTAACAATAAGTCAAATAAATCTGATTTCTGCAAATAATGGATAAATTCCCCATAATTTCTCCATTATCACTATTCCCATACACAAAAAGTAGCACTTCTTCAAGCATGAGCTCAAAGAGCACAACTGTTATTAAGGTAAAAAGCCTTGATAGGCGGCTAAAACCAGGTCTGTGTACCCAGAATCCTAAAATTAGGTGGCCATCAATAAGTTCTTCAAGCTCAAGTCTATCGTCTGACTGAAGTTCGTATTTAGAGGACCGCGGCTCCTCTTCAACGTATAAGTTTTCAATCAGGCTTGAGCTGAGTTTCTCACTGTATTTGAGATCAGAATTCATCTTTAATTGTTTTATAGCTCTTCCAGCTAAAATGGATTACTTCTCAAGAGAATGATAAAAAATCTCTGTTATAAAATTTCGTGACGTTAAAAATGAATATAAGTGTAGGTAATCAAGAGAAGGATTTGTGAAAGCATGTAAATAATTAAAATAGAAAATGAAGAAAAATAATAATTGAAAAGGAATTGTAAAGGATTATTTGAGCAAATGCAATTTAGATTAAAGAATAATGCAGGGTAGCAAAAAGACAATTGAAATTTTTGTTTTATGAGTCATCATTTTTTCTGGCTAGAATATAGATTGAGAACTCTTGTAGGGTCTTTAGCAGTAATGGCTATTCCTAGTGAATAGGCAACGCAAATGCCCAATTTTATTAATTAAAATTGACAAATATGGGCTATAATAATTTGAATTTAACAATTTTAAATTGAGTTTGCCAGAAAAATGACATTTTCGTGGCCTATTAAGTGAAGGTATTGCCCCTAAACGGGAAAAAATGGGACCGGAGCTATAAACAAATAAAAAATGAAAGCTTTTTAAGGAAAAGGGAAAAAGCTATTATAGAATCTTATAATTACATATAAAGAATTATTAAAACTTATGCCTATTTAATTTTATTGCAATTAATTTATTTTTACTTAAGGAAGCTTTACAATTAATATCACAAATACAATAAGTCTAAAGCCAAAATCAAGATAGATTTCTTTAAAGATGCTACTGCATTTTATTGCAATTGCAATGCATATAAACAATATAGATTAAAAATTAATCCAAGTCTTTATTTTCCTCACATACATATTCTATTAAAATTAAATTTTAAAATTTGTATCTTTTCTCTTCCAAATTTTTGATTCCTCTTTTAATTTGTCCAAACATCTTAAGTGCTTGGGTTTTTGGAAGACTTCTTTGTTAATCCTCTTTCTACTGTATGTTATAAAGATAATGTCAAAAAAAATAAGTCTATTAACCTCCATTTCAGCAAAATCAGCTTCATCCTCATCCAAATCCGACAAAATTCCTCAGATTGATATAATAATTTGCTTACTCCCCCAAAATCCTTGATCGATCGTTCGATCAAGGTGGGGGGTTAAAAAACAAATTTATATATAAAATAAAAAAATATATGCTTTTTTTTATATATTTTTAAATAAGAGGGTTAAGAGTATTTAATAATTAATTTTACAGTAAAAAATTGAATTAATTTCGTAAAAATCCCAATTTTTAATATTTTGATTTATTGGTTACCCTTTTAAACTGTATAAATTTTAATTTGTTCCTTATTGAATTAAAAATTTTAAATTTTAAAGAATCTCTATTTTTAGATTGTTGAGTTTTTAAGCCTAGGCTGATGACTAAATCACTTCGAATGGTTAATTCCGCAGCTTTTTGTCGTCTCAAAGCTCTGAAAAAAACTTGATTAGGCACATCTCCCAAGCTTTTGATAACTAATATATTTTTATATATATAAAAATTTCCATGATATGAAAATCGTTCGATCAAGGATGGGGGGGCGTTAATAATTAAATTCTTCTATTTCATCTATTAACTAATTGTTTTTCTTTCTAACGTCCTATAGTTCCTATAATTTTTTCCTTGGCCTCTTCTCTATTTCGATTATATCTCTTTTCTAAACTCTTCTATGATCATTTCTAATAGAGTCATAAAATCTGCTTCAACAAGCCTAATTTTTCTGTCCTCATGTATTTTCCATCATAACTAAGAAATCTTTAATCGCTTTTTTTCTTGATCAAATTTCTGTTACTCCTATTAAATATGTTTATAACGTTAATTTCTAATTAAATTAATAGCCTCTGCTGGCTGGTGCCTCTGGGTTTTCGTTTTTCCAAAGATTGATCAGTCTAAGCTCTTCTTTCAAGCTGTCAGCTGCTGTAAGTGGTGGATACTTCGCTATTGTCTCTTCTCTTGGCAATGGAAATCTATCAGCAAACTCTTCCATCGGATGCAGAACCACGTCATGTCTGATATGGCTGAACAAGGTACTGCTGACTCTCCATAGAATTCTGCCAGTCTCTCTTGCTGTATTTACCGCTGCTTGTGTCCTTTCATTAAAAACGACCTCATGGTATCCTGCCAAGACGTACCCGCCTGTTATATATTCAAAAAGTTTCCCAGCTTGAAGCAATAAACAGCCACTAGGCACTGCGACATCAATTTTTTGGTTATTTCTAAGCCACGCTGAAAGTCCTGGGAATCTTGATTTTCCGTGGATTGTGATGAAGTTTAAGTCATAATGGTAGCCTGCGAAGACTGATCCTTTGCCAAATTTGTTTAGGTCAGAGCCAGTTGGGGCAAGTAGATGTGGAGCGCCTCTGAGCATGTCCACGATTTTTTCTGGCTGGACGCCAGCAGCGATTTCGAACATCCTGACGACTGTTTCTACGGTTCTGAGCATGAGAGATCCCCAGGTGTTCATTAGTTCAGTCCATTGTGGGAAATCTGGAGGGACGACGTTTTCGTATTCGACGTCTGAGCGATGGGCTGAGAAGTCTCCGATTCTCCAGAAGTATTCTTTATTAGGTCATTATTTATTTATTTAATTTTTTTTTTATAATTATGATGAAAAATTTTAAGCTTTATTTATAGCTAAAATTTCTATATTTTTTATAGAAATAGGCTTATAATGCTGATATAATAGTAAATAGTCCCTTAGAGCCCTTATATTTTCCATATATTTAATTATTATTTTATATCTCCACTTAGCATCATATTGAGGTGGGCACTCAGTCACCGCCTTTGAGTCTTCTGGCAAATTATTAATTCTTTCACAATGGTTCCTCGCCTTTTCGACATTTTCTGGAGTCGCTCCAACTTGGAAATGCAGTTCAGGGTGGACCTCAGCCACTTTTTCTCCATTGTAAAGCTGATTCCCAGCTCTTCTGAAGTAATGCTCCATCATGTCGAGGAAGTCCCAGTTGATTTGTTCGTTAACTCTAGGGTCACGGGCAATTAAGATCCCTGTATTGTGGAAAGTGTCGACGACTTTTTGGCATTCGTCTCTTACTGCTGGAGGAATAGGCTCGTGAGGGTGGTGAGCCAGATGGTCGAGAAATCCACCAAGGTCAACTACAAGTGGGGCGTCCATTGATTTATTATAAGAAACCATTTTGGAACCATATGGAATCTAGGAGATATTAAAAGATATGAGATTAGGGATAAATATAAATTTGTTTTATATAAATATTTTTTAGGCAAAGTATTTGAGCTAGAGAGGATACTCCATTGATTTTTAATGGCGAAGGATAGGAATTGGGATATAGGAGATTGAAAGCGGAAAAATAGAGGGAGGAGAATATTAAAAAAATAAATAATTATGGAAGGGAGGAAGGAAAGTTTGTAAGTGATAAATAAAGGCTTATTAAAAAATTACTTTTGAAGATTTTTTAATTGGATTTTGAGAGTTTTCAAGGAAATATTAATATTTTAAAATATTTTGCTAGAAAAAAAGTAGTTTTAAGCTATTTGGTGAACAATATTTTAGAACTCTCAGCCATTTTGGCATAATAAATACCCTTATTTTAATTAATATATAGACTATACCCCCAATATAGATTTATTTATCGAACAAAATGCAATAGATAGATGAATGACCAAGACAGACTCTCTCAAAGGGACGAGCTATATCTCTATACAGGTAGCATTAAAACGTGGTATGTCAAAATGGTTGACAATTGAGATACCCTTTTAGACTCAATAGATAGATATTTAAAGAAAACAATCTCAATTTGATTATGATAATTGCTCTATAAAAGCCAAAGTTTTTACTGAGCGCTGATTGTTCTTTAATGGCTTATATGATACTCATTAGCAAATTTAAATGGATTTAAAATTAAAAAAATCGATTTGTTTTTTTGCGGAAGGTTAAATTTCTAATAAACAATTTGAGTATGATCAATTGCTCTATTAAAGCTAAAGTTTGTATTGAGCGCTGCTATTCTTTATAAGTTCTTAATGACTCATAATATGCTGTTTAGCAAATTTAAATGAATTTAAGAGAGTCTGCCTTGGTCATTCAACTGTCCTTTACATTTTGTTCGATAAAGCGATCAATATAGAGGTATGGGCCATATCATATTTTTACAGCTACTCAGCAATAAAAGTCCAATTTTCAAGCCTGTTTGCATCACTTTCAGGCGAATGCTGCCTCCCTCGAACTTTATATTGTGGCATATTCGTCGGCGGTATAAATTTTCTGGCAGGCTTTGGCGGTTTTAGCTCCCTTCTCATAACTTTTGCCCAGTCAATCCCATCAAAAAACTCATATCTTTTGATTTCTTCAGCGTCATAATGGCTTCCTAGTCTTCTATTCGGGTCTCTTTCTAGTAGCCCTTTTAACAGGTTTTTAGCTTCTGGGCTTAAAAAAGGAGGAAGTTTTAATTTTGCGTTTTGGATGTTATAAAATAGCTGCTCCCTATTATTTGCATAATAAGGTGGGACTCCTACAAGCATCTCATATAGTATCCTCTACTATTTTCAATGCCAATTTTCTTATAAATAAGCACCTATTTAATATAAAAAAGGATAAAACCCCTAATAAATATCAGTCCACTGCTTTCCCATGGCCTTTTCTTTTTAGCATTTCTGGTGCCAAATATGCAACACTCCCACAAAACGATTTGGCTGAATTATTATCAAAAACCCCTTCTTTCGATAACCCGAAATCAGTAAGCATTGCATGGCCTTGGGCGTCTAATACTACATTATCTGGCTTTAAATCTCTATAAATAATATCTCGTTTATGTAGCTCTTCTAGTGCTAATAAAATTTCACATAAATAAATCCTTGCTCTTTTCTCGTCAAATTTTTTTTCTTTTATTATATAAGACGTCAAATCGCCACCAGGGCAATAATCCAGTATTAAAAATAATTTATCAGTAGTCTGAAACGCATATTTTAGCCCTACAATAAAAGGGTGATTAAAATAGCTCATCACATTTCTTTCAGTCAGGGCATATTTTACGAGATTTTGGCCAATAATTTTATTTTTTCTCAAAATTTTCATAGCATATAGCTTGTCAGTGCCTATTTTTTTGACTAAAAATACCTCCCCAAAGCTTCCTTTTCCTAGCTGAGAAATGGCTTCAAAATCGCTGGCAGTCACTTTTTTCTTTTCAGATTTTTCTTCTTCATCAAAAACAGGGACTTTTGATGCTTTTTCTTTACCTTTGTCGTTAGGGATAAATGGCGTTGACAGTCTTTGCATCATTTGTTCGACTTCTGCTTCTTCAAAGGTCTGTATTTCAATAGTCTCGTCTTCCTGTGAAGGCAGCGGGGAATCTGGGACCGCTTTTTGTGTCTGCTTATTAAAAATTGCTATAAGTGGCTGATATCCATAGTCTATGGCAACATCTAATGGTTTTTTCCCTTTGGTATCTGTGATATCAGTCCTTGCCCCTGCAGAGAGCAGGATTTTTGCGATTTTTTTCTTGCCGTTTTTGCAGGCTATATGTAGAGGAGTCTGCCAATTATTGTCTTGAGAGTTTATGTCGCTATTTTCAGCTTTTTCTAATAAAGTTTCTATTACTTTGATATTCCCGATTTCTACTGCTAGATGTAAGGGGGTTTTATTGTCTTCTCCTCGAAATGACAATTGTGCCTTTAATGATCCATAGACTTTTTCATCTAATAAACTTCTGCAGAGGTCAGGGTCAGCTGTTTCTATGGCTTCTCAGAGCATTTCGTTGATTTTTCGCTTATTTGAGTATAAATGTTTAGGGTTTCTTATAGGCTCTGTGTGGAATTGGCTGAGATCTTTGTCGTTGAAATTTTGATCTTGGTAGACTGCTTGAGTTTTTTCTGTGACTGTTAAGGATTTTTTTCTTGTATATTTTTTTGGGAAATAAAGAATTTTTTTTTTTTTTAAGAAAAATAGGCATATTTATGGTAGAAAATATATAACTTTGGGGAAGTCTCGTCATGTGTTTTCAGCTTTTGGATGGTTTTTTGGGATTTTTTAGCGTGGTTGTAATGAGTCGTGTTACTTGCGTCTTCTGCTGTTTTATTTTGACTGTCAAAATGGTTAGATGACATAAAATTATCGATGTCTATAGATGGACGAGCTTGATAGCACGCTAACCCTGATAAAAGCTTGCGTAGGCCTGAGAAAAGTCCTCCTTCCATGTTATTAAGATTGTAAATAAATAATTTAATTTGCATTTAATAGCAATTATTAAATAAACGCATCCTACCAATATTATATAAAATTTTGACAAATATAATAAATTAATTAATTGTGTTTAATAAATTTACTTAAAATATTGAACCATCTATTGTTTAATTAGTCTTAAATTGATGCGACACTATTTTATCAACTATTAAATATTTTATGTTATTTTTTGATGCTTGTAAAAGTCTTTTAAATTATTTTTAATTCTTAATTTCAGATTATTGAATAATTTAACAAATAAAAAAGTTAGAGAATCAAAAACTTGAAGAGAAGAATTAAAGGGATGTAATTTAGAATTAAAAAATAATACAAATTAAGCTTCATTTATTTAATTAGTTGCACTATAGACCAATACTAATAGCCTCTAGATTAATATTGCAGGGTAATCTTGCATTTGCTTGAATTTTATATATCAATCATAAAGATTTTATTATATCATTATTTAATAATCCTTCACACAATATAAAGATCAAGGAAATCTATTTTCATTCCTACCTCATTTATTTTAAGAATCTCTCCCAATTAATTTTTCTTAACTCCAGTTTCTTCATTTATCAAGTCTCATCTTGTGTATTTATTAATAAAAATGTCACTTGAAAATATTCCATTCATATTCTGGAACAAGAACAGCCAAGGCTTAATTCATAACATTACATGTACCTCTATCAAAGACAAAAAAATTTGCACGGGATGCGATTCTGGTGAAATTTGTATATATTTTTTATAATAAATTTCCAATTTTTATCAAAAACCCCATCCCCAAATCCTCCTAATTTTTTTTTAAATATATTTAATTTAGCTCAGCTTATGAACCCAGATTCAAGATAAATTTCTCCCACACGTGATCTGCACAATCGGAAAAGACGTTGAGTGTCGCGCCCTCACCTTTATTACCCCTTTGAATTCTGATTTAATTGGCTGCGATCAGTGTATTGCTTCTCTTCATGCTGATAGTATCATTAGATGCTGAGACATCAGAGATGGCCGGTGCATAATTTCTTCAGAAAATGGGACGCTGCCAAATTCTACGAGGCTTGATATGATGATCACTATTCAGCAACGATTTTTGGCGATTTCTGGAGAAATTATGAATATTTTCTTAGTGGATAGCTGGACAATGGAAATTTTGGCGACATATACGATGGATAACAAGGTATCGTGAATTTCAAGCTGAAACCATTTGGCAAATAATTATCTTGCAGGGTCAGATTTAGGAGGAAAAATCGAGTTTTGAAAAATCCCAGATTTGAAAAATTTCTCGTATGGAAAAGACGATTTTCCTGGGTTTAAGCTGGATGCTGTGTATAAGGTCTATACTGATGAAAACCCAACATCTTTTTGTTTTTCCCAGACTGACTCGATAATGGCTATTGCTCACGCGAAAAGCATACAATTTTTGCATGAGGACTGGATCATGTCAAAAGTCCAAGAAAAAGCATTTTTGGAGATGGACAAGCCGATAGTCTCAATTGGATTTTCTTATTATTATTTTTTTGTTTTTTTGAATGATGGGGTTTTGTTGAGGTATGAGTCTATGAATATTTTAAATGAAATCACTGAAGATGAATTGAGCTTAAGTCGCTCACTCCCCATTAAGGGGCTTAAGGAGCCTAAATTTTTTTTTTAAATTATAAGGATCAAATATATATATAAAATTTTTGATTGTTCAGAAAGGAGATAATTTCTAGCATTTTTCCTGGGAGAGTCAGGATCAAAAATCATGACAGTTTTAGCAAATGATGAATATAACTTAAATAGTTTGGAAAGCGAAACCACATATATCGACAGGACACTTAATAATACTATTTTTTATAACGATTTCATTATTTCTTATAAGCATCAATCTATCATTATTTTGAATTTGCTTGATTTCAAGCCTGACAAGATTACCAATACCAATATTATACAATTTTCATTAAAATCCATTGGCCATGAAAGCTACGCAGACAGCAGACTGCACCTTTTATTCAAAGAAAACGAAATTATTACAGTTAGCACTATAGCCCTAACTGATAAATGGCCATTTTATTTAATTGGGACTTCTCTAGGGAATATTTATGTGTGCCCATTTCAGCCTAACCAGCTAGTCTATACCTATTCCTACCACAAAGCTCCTATAACCTGCATTTATTTAACAAAAAACAAGCTCGTCACTTGTGGAAAAGACAGTCTTATGTGTCTATGGGAATTTTCAATAGAAAATCACGAAATTGAAGCAAAAAGTCCTGAAAAACAAAACGAAATATACCCAAAAGCACCGAGAATGTTTTTTAGGTCGCAAACGAGTTATCAAAACCAAGCTAGTTCTGCAATCCGTCCAGAAGTAAAGAAAAACCATCCTGAGCAAGTGATCCCTATTCATACATCTGCAGTCAAAAAAGTGATAGAGATTTCAATTTTAGGTGAAAATAACAGCCATTCTATTTTGGATTATTGGAAAAGGATTATTTTATCTCAGTGCAAAGATGGGTCTATTTTGCTGATTTCGCTTATAACAAATAATATTCTTTGTTATTTTCAGCCTCTGCAGTCAAATGTATGCTGCATTTATTATAAAAATACTATAAAAATAAAAATTTATACTGTTTTTTATAATGAATTAGCAATTTCTGTGCCAAAATTTATATTAAATCTACTAATTAGTAATAATTGAAGCCCATTTATTATTAGCCCAAAATTACTTGTTTATTATATGTGACAATCAAAAACTATATATTTTTGATACTGAATCCAATAATTAAATATTGTGTCTTGGTTTGGGTATGTTTTTATTATATCTGTCAAGGTTTTGCCTACTCAGAAATGGATAGCTATATAGCTAACAATTACAACTGTGTGGGATACCAGCCTTCTCTGCTTTAATATTGGATTAAACCTAATGGAAAGGGGAACTTAGAGCTAGAAATGGGAAGCCAAGCCTATCGGGCAACTCTTCAGTGTCGACCTAGGCTTCAAGTTTTTCCTTTATATCGACAGAAATTCCTTTTTTTGGGGATTTTTGTGCAGACAATTTACTTTTTCCGTCAGCCTTAAGGCTGCAGAATTCCATAGTCTACCTACTTAAAACTGGAGCTAAAAGTAAAGAAAAGGCCTTTACAGCAAGCAAAGCTTCAGCCATCTATGCAACCTGAGCTGAAGGAATAGCAAGGTGCCGTTCGAGCTAACTTGCTAAGTTAGGCATTTTAGCCATTCAAGCGAATGATCTTCTATAAGATTCCCAACAATAAATCAGTATCCTTCTTTAATAAGTTTAATTTAAGATACTGCAATTCAAGCTTTAGAAAGAGCAATCCCTATGGACCAAATTCACATTATCCTAAATCAAGAAATAAACGCTCCTTTATCCCCAGTAAAGGAAAAAGAAAAAGAAGTGTCCTCATACATCCACAAACTCTTATGAAACCATATAAAATTTCAATGTGAAGAAGGCTATAAAGCTCCTATTACAGTTGACCAAATTTCTATTGGTGGATCTGATTTTCCACTTCTTCATGCTAATGTCTCCAGTGCTATAAAGCGGATTAATGAAAATTCATTAAGATTGTCTGAGGCTGAGTACCTTCTAGGACTAATTACTTGCTGAAAAGCTGAGTGTAAAGGCCATACTTCCCTTAAGGAGTATTTAAAAAAATATTTATATTTATTAAAAAATGATTAAGTCTTTTAAGGATTTTTATATTTTTCTAATAAAATATAGAAGTTTTTATTATTTTTAAAATAGGAATAAGTTTTGAAGAGCCTTTAGTATCTTGCCATATCGGCGTAAGAGGCTACAATAACTGCTATTCCTTTATGCTTCCTATATGTAGCGATAAATATGAAATTTCTGGATATTTAACTAGCTGCCTATTAGGCTCAGGCTTGGCTTTTGCTTATGCATTTCAACATAAAGATGGCTCAACCCGCAGAAAACTGAAGCAGTTTATGAATTCCCATTTATCCTTCCACGAAAACTACAAGCCAGCTGATATCTCTGCCTTAGTTATACAATATCTAAACGGAAACCTCGCCAGTGGCTTCTTAATTAAACAAGTTTTACCTTACCTAGAAAACAGAAAAAAAACAAATTTAGTGAAATCCTGCATTTTTTTATTAGAAAATAAAGCAGAAACAGAAAGCAAAAATGTGTCGTTTATTGAAGCTTTATATGGAGAACTTTTGGGGACGGCAAAAATACTGCAAGGCTCTGCAAAAAAACTGTAAGGCCAGTAAAAAAAATGGCAAAGCCAAGCAAAAAAATGTAAAACTTGCAAAATTTTTGCAAGTTTTGCAAAAAATTGTAAAAAAGCGAAAAAAAAAAAAAAGCAAAGCCATGCAAAAATTTTAAAAAAATGAAAACTTTCGCAAAGCAGGCAAAACTTTGCAGAATGGCAAAAAAGTTGCAAAAATTGGCAAAAATCACGATTAGAAAATTTAACATTGAAATTTAATAATTTATTGGAAGTGTAGTACAATGTTAAATTATTTAAAAACAAATAATATAGAAAAAATAGAAATTAATTTCGTGAAATAAATGCTAAAGTCTAATACAAATATCTTTTAAAGAATTTTCCAAAAACATAACTTAAAAATTTTCAAAAATTTGGAAAATTATTTGTATATACTACACTTCCAATAAATTATTAAATTTCACTGTTAAATTTTCTAATCGTGATTTTTGCCAATTTTTGCAACTTTTTTGCCATTCTGCAAAAGTTTTGCCTGCTTTGCGAAATTTTTCATTTTTTTAAAATTTTTGCATGGCTTTGCTTTTTTTTTTAAATTGCTTTCGCTTTTTTGCAAGTTTTGCATTTTTTTGCTTGGCTTGCCATTTTTTTTTACTGGCCTTGCAGTTTTTTGCAGTATTTTTGCCGTCCCCAAAAGTTCTCCGCTTTATATGTGTCGATTTTAGGGCTTTTTTGTAATGAAAATAGAGATTTAAATGCAAAAGTGGTGCAGAATATTCTGAATTCATTAAGAAATATGACGAAAACTGGGATCTCGCATTACGTAGCAATTGCTTCAAAAATAATTGGGAATGGAATTGGAGCTTGGAGACAATGCTTTACTACAGAGCAGATCATGGAAATTTGTAGAGAATTTTTAAGGGATGCAGGGAGCCATGATGCAGTTTATAAGAAAATTTTGTATAGAGGGGTCACTAAGATCGCATGCCATGATTTTATGCTTTATTTGAAATTTTTGTCACATGATTTGGAAGATATGGAGACTGATAAAAAGTATCCAAAAACCTGTCTGTCCTCATTAAAACACCTTGTAATCCAAAAATATGAAGAATTCCCACGATTTTTGCCTGATATTATTGAAGTTATCTTAAAAACTCTTAACCCCCACAACCCAATTCTAAGGAAAAATTGTTTAGAAAAAGCTAGCACTCTCCTAAAAAAACTTGTCCATAAGCTTCCAATGGTCGCCTTCAGCCAGGTAACCCAACGTCTTGCTATAGGCACTCTTGATAAATTTATTGTGATTTATGACTTAAAAACTGCGTCTCAATGAAAAATTCTTGAAGGCCATGAAGACGCTGTCTGTGCTATTGATTTCGATAAAAAAGGTAATAAAATCGCTTCTTATTGTGCTATTGGCAGTACGCTGCGTATATTTAAGATAGAAAAAGGATTTTTCCATGATATTTTATCATCGTCATCAAAACCATCAAAAACTGTGCCGCTACAGAAGGTGGTTAATTCTGCACAAAATTATAAGGAATTTTTATACAATTTTAAGGTAAATTGATAGTAAAAACCTGAGGATTTTTTATTGTTTAGAAATATGTAATTTTGAGAAAAATTAATAAAAATAGGATAAATATAGTGAAAATCGATTGGACGGTGACTGGGGATATAAGTCTCCGCAGAGAAGACGGCCAAACTTATAAAATTTCAGTATAATTTTTTAATTTTTATTAGGAATGTTTAAAAACACACAAACTGCTGTGATATCATCAATTACTTCTTCTTCAGTCACCCATCTATCATGGGCAAATTTTCGCTAGCTCTTCTTGTAAATTATAAAAATCCTATTCTAATATAATTTGGGGTTAATTTGTTTTTATAAATTTTTAAAAAAATATAAATTTAATGCAATATTTTTTAATTTATTTTATAGAGAATTAATTTAAAAATATTAATCGATTCAGCATGCCAACTATTTAAAATGGTATTCTACTTGTAATCCTCTATTAATTAATTTAATACTATTTATATAAAAATTATTATTTTTACCTATAAAATTTTTTCAATGTTCCAATTTAAAGGGGGATTAAACTTACCCAAAAAAAGGAATTTTAACCTATATTTTGTTCAAATTTAGCGCTAAGGCTTCACATACACCTTTGCTGTCATTAATTCTCCAATAAGGGACAGCAGTTTTTATACTACTTTATATTAATTTTAATTCAAAAATATTATCATTATTATATAAAAAAAAAGGCCAGCCTCCTCACAAATAGTATACTATATCTTCATTTGAAATAAATTCAAAAACTCCATCACTTCCTAAAACTATGAATTTGTCTTCAGGAGTCATTTGAAATTCTAAAATTTCCGGTTCACATATAACTCCTACAGACGCTGCTACTGCGTCTCCTAGTGATCTTGACATTGCAAGACCTGGCAAATCCTGATTTCTCAGTCAAACTCTTGCTGGGCCTAATGGGTTCCCATTTTCGTCTTGGTAGCTTTCTACTCTTCCACCCCATTGGAAAATTCTGGCTGATTCATCTTTTTCGTCCGGCTTATGGTCTCTTGATAATACCCTTTTCCTAATGAATAGCCCCCTTTTATTTCATATAAAAAATATTAAATATATACAAAAAGCAGTATACAATAGACATCCAATGCCTTCCACTCGTCGTCGTATTTCCTGTGTCATTAACTTGCCTTGCTATTAGCGCTCTGGAATCTCCCACATTTGCACAATATAAAACGCTCCCTTTAATCAATACAAAAATCAGAGTTGTTCCACTAAAACTAACGTCAATATTAATTCTTTTTAATTCTTCATTTACTTCTATCACAGATTTTTCTATCACTTTTTTAGGATCACTGTAAATTTCAGGGTGCTTTGCCAACATTTCGGGCAGCCTTTTTTTTACATACCCAGAAACCTCTCCTCCAAACATCCCATGCCTTTCTTAATCTTAATTTTAGGTTGGTCCTGCCTATTGGTAACTCAGTCACCAAGGACCCATAAGGGTTCATCCGCTTACGATCAAGCTGGGTTCGGTTGAGATGACTCAAAGGATCGACACCATTTTGCTCATCCTTCGGCCCCTGGCGCATGGGATTCCGGAGTCTTCGCTCTTCCTCCTACACCTCCTCCTTGCCTACGACTACAGTAATGAATAGGAGACTATGGACTTCTGTCGCTGCTGCTTGAGTTGCACGAAGGTTGTCTGCACAAAAATCCCACAAAATGGAATTTGTGGCCAACTCTCAGCAAAAGGGAAATTTTTGAAACCTAGGGTGTATTTCCTGGTTTCACGCTAACTCCCCCCCCCCCCCTCCGTGAGCGAACAAAAAAATTTTGTTCGCTCACGGAGGGGGGTTAATTTTTTTTTTTAAAAAAATTATATATAAAATTTTATAAAAAATATTTTTTTTCGAAATTTAAAAAAATCCTAATTTGCAAAAATTGGGAAGCAAATATTAATTTAATTTGCAAAATTTATGTTTTAAAACGCAATTTGTTTAAAATTAAACAGAATTAGCTCTAGATTTCATTATACTAATTATCACTTATATATCAAAATTTTTTCCATTAAAATTTTTTCTATTAAAAAAATTTTTTGTTCACTCACGGAGGGTGGGTTTTTGGTCAAAAAATGGCGATTTTTCTAATGGTTTTGTTCGCTCACGGAGGGGGGGGGGGGAGTAAGGACTTACCCATTTGCCTCAAACTTGCTGGACTTCCTTTTCAACCTCAATCTCTCCCTTTCCTTCAAGCAAAATCTTACTCTGAAAGCGGACTTGAGCTAGGTTTCAATCATTCCTGGAATCATCCCTGCGCTGCCAAAAAACTACCGAATATAATTAAATATGTGCCAAGGCTGAATAGCCGGCTCATACCCAAGCCGAGTTTCCATATTTAATTATCCATCCCATGTCCATCACAGACACCAAATAAATGCAAATCATTGTAACCTGCTACACAAGGATGCTCAAAAAAATTGTCTTGGTTGACTTTTCCAGGATTTCCTGGAATAAACCCTTTTTGAGTTTCATGAGAAAAAGAAGAGATGATGGCGAGGTTTTGTTTTATGGTGCTTCCAAGCGAAAATTTTCGATGGTGAGCTGCGTCAGATTCAGGCTTTCTTCAGGTGTTTTGGGAAACTGGCTTGTCAGCAAGAGATGTAGCTCGCCTATGGCGAGCTGATTTTATGGTATGTCGATTTGAGCTTTTCGGAGTCGCGATTTTTGCAGTAGCAAGCCCTGTGTGCTCCGAAAGAGGCTTGATTGGCTTATTTAGCGGGCTTTCTTTGAAAAACTGAGGAATTTTGCTTTGGCCTGAATAAGAATTGGATGGACGGTGCTTGGATTTCGTAGGGAGAATGGTCGTTTTTAAACCTAAAGGTTTTTCAAAGGTAGGATCTTTGATAGCTTTAACTGTAGGACGAGCGTTTGAGGTCACAGGCCTGGTGCTGAGTTTACGAATTACAGTGCCAATTGAGGCCATGTTTTGGAATAGTTAAGTTAAATTGGAATTTAAAGAGAGATTTTATGAAGTAAATTTTGTGGGGATAATGAGAGCTGGTGAAGGAAGAAAAGAAAGTGGTATTTTATTTAAAAAATAAAAGTGTAACTGCTAGAGCTGAAAGAGTGATTTAGCTTGATATTTTCTAACACTTCCTTTAATGATGGGAATCAGGCTTGATCAAGGGTCAAAATTTTCTTATATTTGAATTTTTGATAAATTAATTTTTTCGTATAAAATAATTTATGAGCTAGGCATAAGAGAAATTCATTAAAGGAATTTTATAATATAATCTTTAAGATTTGTTATTATCAAGGATAGGAAGTTAGATTTGAGAAAGGTAAAGATAAGATTAAGATGCTAAGTGCCGCCATAAGCGGAGTGAACCTCTGACTATGCCTTGTCTCGGGTCCAAAAGGTTACCTTTTGAAATCCAATATGAATAATTGTACAAGAGATTAGCTTAGCTCCCTAGAGCATTGTGGTAGGCAAAACCTAACTAATCTATATTGCAGGGTTAGGAAGCCTTCGAAGGATAAACTCAAAGCCTACTTCGGCATAATTCCCTTTGATATGGTCTACTTAGCTTACGAAGAGCATAATTTCTCCATCCGTCGCATCGACCTGCTGCTCCATGCCAAAGTCCCATTTTATTTTTGAGGTATATTAGGGTATTGGTTTCACGTTTAACTATATGAAAATTTTCAATCAAGGATGCGGTTAACTTCCAAGGTGAGGAGTAAGTATAAGATTTGAGTAGAGATGCCATAAGAATACGAAATTGATGATTATTTTAAATAAGCTCAAAACTTGTATAAAATTTAATTAACTCAAATTTTATCAAGAATAAACTCAATGCTGCTTTTTTTAAATTCTTTGAATTTTTATACGATAAAAATGTGTTTGACATAATTTCCTTCATATAAAAATCAAGAATTTTTAAATTTTATAATTGATAATAAGATCTAATAAAAAGTTTTATTTTTCATATTAAAATACATTATAGATGTTTTTGCTTCTAAGTAATTTCCATTATTTTAAAAAGTATTTTAATAATGAATTCATTGTTGAGTTCTCAGCTGGTGAAATATTTATATTAATAAAAATTAAAATTGGATCAATAAAGATCATTGGTAAATTTTCAATCAAAAATATAGCCCTATTAAAGTTTCTCTAGCAGGTTAATTATTTAATTGATTAATTTGAATTCCTCCATAATTTCATCACCGCTTTTTTCAGTTTCTACTGTTTTTGGACTTTCCTTACTTTCCTTTATATTTTTCTGCTTACTCCCCCCCCCCCCCTCCGTGAGCGAACAAAAAAATTTTGTTCGCTCACGGAGGGGGGTTAATTTTTTTTTTTAAAAAAAATTTTATATATAAATTTTATAAAAAATATTTTTTTCGAAATTTAAAAAAATCCTAAATTTTGCAAAAATTGGGGAAGCAAATATTAATTTAATTTGCAAAATTTATGTTTTTTAAAACGCAATTTGTTTAAAATTAAACAGAATTAGCTCTAGATTTCATTATACTAATTATCACTTATATATCAAAATTTTTTTCCATTAAAATTTTTTCTATTAAAACAATTTTTGTTCACTCACGGAGGGTGGGTTTTTGGTCAAAAAATGGCGATTTTTCTAATGGTTTTGTTCGCTCACGGAGGGGGGGGGGGAGTTAAATATTTTTAAATTTCTATAATCATATATAGTTATTGCATATATGCATGACGAGTGGAGGAATTCATCATATGCTAAAAAATTCCCATATGTGAAGCCTGTCTTTATGCATGTCTTCACATATGGGAATTTTTTTAGTGAATGGGGAATTTCTCCACACACATGCATAATCCAATACATAATAATTTTTTTAAAAAGGGAGAGTTAAGAAAATTGAAATCTGTCGAGCCCACCCTTTGAATTCCATGTACTGGAGAGTGTGCTGGGGATTCTTCTAAATTTGAATTCATCTCTTCTACCACAAATAACTGATTTGATGAAGGTTTTTCTTCATGGCTATTTTTTATATCATACTTAAAGTCAATTACTATTGGAGATTCATCATTTTCAATGATAACTGTAGGCGTTCTAACTCGCCTCATAGGCGTCTCATCATTTGTTTCCTCTTGCTGACTTATAGTTATACTTTTGTTTTTGGTGCAAACACAACCCATTGGAAAAATTAATATTGAAATATTCATAGCCTAAGCCAACATTTTCTGAAGGAAAAGAAATTAATTAATTTGTTCTGGCCAGCTCAAAATGCTAATTTATAAATAGATAATTGAAATATAATTTTTAAATAATTTCTTCTTGAGCTCATTGTATATTAAATAATTAGATTTAATAATTAATTTTCATAATGTCCCTGTAAGATGATTATCTTAGATATATCAAAATGATCACTCCTGATGGCATATTTACTTAGAACTCACTAAAATCAGCTTCTATATTATATCATATCCAATATATTTTTATCATCAGACTTATTATCTATAACATTGCGCATGCAATTTCGAAGCTCTTATGAGCTCTTAATTAGTTATCATCAGACTCAATTAAAAGACTTTTTTATCAGATATTTATTAGAGAACTTTGGAAAGCAAAGATTTATAAGAAAATTTCACTAAATTTCTATCTGATCAATTTACTTAGAATTATTACACAAGCCAGTGATTTCGACATTATTTATGCCACTTTAATATAAATGCTTACGGGTGATTAAACCGAGAAAAGCCCTTATTTTCTCATAATTTTTTTTTGTATTTTTGAACTGTTTTTGCATGCCTTCATCGGCTTAATGCTTTTTTTTTGCTTTTTCTAATTAAAAAGCTCCAAATTTTGCAAATTCTATCTATATTTTTATTAATTTGTAGATTCATAATTCAGCTCCACCTTAATAAATGCGAAAAAAGGAGCTTAAGAAGAAATCAAAATCAAAAATATTGCACTTGGCTCCAAAGAATGAATCTCCAGCAAACGAAGATATGGGTTACAATCAAATTTCTAGTTCTCAAATTTCAGAGGGACCTCGATTGGATAATAAAACTACAATAATTAATGAACCATTGGATCTTTTGCTAGATAAAGATGAGCCAAAGTATGAAGAGAAAAAGTCTTTTGAATGAAAAAATTGTGAAAGTGATCTATTATCTGGGAATACAGAGGATTCTACAGAGGATGCTAGTGTAGAAGAATTTGAATGTAAAAGTCAAGATGAAAACATTCCTAAAAGCGAATTAAATAACTCCGACCCTTCTGATATGATTTTTTTTTTAAAATATAAACGATAGTTATAGCCTATAAACTGATTTTTTATAAAATTAAAGTGAAATAAGTAGCCATTTTGGTTTAGCGGATTGATAATTAAATTATTGATAGCATTAATTAAATTAATAAGCAAAATTTGATTTTATTAAATAATATTCTTGGTTTAATAACAAAATTTTACTAGAAATGTTCAATTAATATCATTTCTTTGCTTAATGAAAATCCGGCCCAAGAGGGCTTCCTTGATAGCCTAGTTAATCATACTGAGCAGTCAATTAATATATCAATAAGTCCTTTTTGTGAAAAATGCAAAGTAAAGCCTAAAGAAATAGAGTTAATTTGCTCGCATAAGTATTGCAGAGAGTGTGCCAATAATATTATACTTGAAGCTTCTAATGGGAAGCTATTACTTTCTGAGCTTGAAATAAATCTTTATCTTTATCTAAAATCTAGCGACGTATAGTCGCCTAACCGATCCTTATGGATCAAGCTTTAATCAATTCGTAATTCTACTCTGTTTTAATTCTTGTGTCCTTCTCAATCTAGCTGCACCTGCTGCTCTCTCTCTTAGCACTTCCATGTGATATTGTTTTATGCTTTTGTCCAGTGCCTTTACCTCTTCAAGCCTACCACCTCCAATCCAGCTTCACGCCATTTCTTCATACCTTCAACTACACAGTATCATGTCCAGTAGTCCTACTTTTGTTTGACCATGTTGTCCAGTTTGCTGTGCAGGTTGTTGTTCAAGATGCTCTTCAGATAGCTGTACATGTTGCAGTTCAGGTTGCCTCTCTGACTGTGATACAAGTTGCCACTCAGTGCGTAGTTCAAGTTGCCGCTCAGGCTGTACATCACATAGATTTTCATGGTGTTGTTCATGATGTAGTTTATGTAGCTGTTCAAATTGCTGCTCAAATTGCTGCTCAAGTTGCTGGTCAAGTTGCTGGTCAAGTTTCTGGTCAAGTTGCTGCTCAGGATGCTGCTCAAGTTGCTGCTCAAGTTGCTGCTCAGGCTGTGCTTCAGGTAGTTGTTCAAGATACTGTTCAGGCTGTGACTCATTTCGCTCTAAAAAATGAAAGTGCTTGAAATAAATCAATTACCCTTTTTTTGCTCAATATGTAGGGATCCACTAAAAAAAGATAATTATTGAAAAATTATTGAACCTATATATGACTTCCTACTGGCTCAGGCAGATCAGGAGAAATATCTTAGTTGCAAGAACTGCGGAATTATTAAAGAAATTAGTGAATTTCATGATAATTTATGCAAAGAATGTTTTGCTTTTAATTTACGTTCTGGGAAGGTGGAAAAATGGGATAATTATACTCAAGAGTTTATTTCTGAAAAAGGCTATTGTGATGGCTGTAAAAAAATAGTTTATTTTGTAAAGAATTGCTTGACATCTATTTGCCCTTTAAAGCATTATTATTGCAGAGAATGCTTACTTCTTTGATAGAGCAAGAAAATTGACCTCACTTGTGAGGATTTTTTTAGGTTAAAAAAAAATTGTATAGCATGAACATAGTTTAGCCTTTAAAATGTTGTAAACCTTTATGGATTGGCAAGTATCATGAATAAATCATAGTATTAAGATTTAATTAACGATTAATTAATCTTATAAAAAAAAATATAGGTTCTATCATTCATGGAGGAGAGGTAGTTCAAATAATGGGAATGGGTAACTGCTTAGAATGCAAACGTGAATTATCAGAAGAAACCAAAATAAAAATCGATAAAATTTTATATGCGATATGCAAAATATGTGGGGAAAAATTCAAAAGGGAGAGATTTATCCCTAAAAGATGTTGCGAAGATGATGTTTGTGTTTTATGCCAAATTTATTGGCCTAGTGATAACTGCTGCTTGTGCAATAAAGAATTATCATCATATGCTTTAGAAATTATCAATGATATTAGAGAAAAAATCAAAAATTAAAAATTATTAAAATTTCGATTTCTGCCTTTTTAGCATAATTTTCATCCTATTTTCTAAATCAATAGATTTGCTGACCCTAAGTTCCTCAACTTTCTGATCATGTTTTTTATTGTATTCTTTTGCTTTTATTTTTTTTCCTTCTTTTAATTTTAATCTTTCCTGCTTGGCTTTTTCCATTTTCTCTTTAATTTCTTCAAATTTTAATTCTAATTGTTTTTGCATATCTTCATCAATTTGCTGCTTTTTTTCTTGCTTTTTTCTAATTAATGCATCATTTTGTGAAGCTTTTTTACAAATTTTTTCATAAAGTTCATATTTGGAATTGATTATATTTTGCTTTATTTTTTCTTCGAGATTTTTCATGTTTATTCTAAAGGGATTAAATAGGAATTTAATTATTTTTTAATTTTTTTAAATAATAATTATCTTAAATATAATAAAAAATCACGTCGAGATTGTTTTAATTTTAATTCATAAGACTTGGAAGATTCTGATTTTATAAGGATATTATGATCAGTTTGCTCATTAACTGTTTGCTTTGGGATTGTTTGCGGATGAAGAATTTGAGAAAAGCTCATTTTTTCTGGGCTGCTCTTTTTAGGCTCCTTTTTTGGAGTGATTATGGAGGAAAACCTAATTAATGGCCTTTCCGATGCAAAATCATCAAAATTCTTTACTGTAGAATTTTTAGGCGAAATTTCTATTTTTTCAAGGGTATTCTTATTAATAATTTTTTCTAGCAGAGTTCTAAAAGGCAATTTAAAATTGTACAATTTATTGGCCTCGTCTATAAATTCTTCTGTTTCCAATATAGTTATTTCATTATTTTCTTTTTTCGCTAATTCAGTTAGATTATCTTGATGGCATTCTTCTATATACGAATTCATATAAGGTTCAGGTTCATACCTATGAGCAATTAAATATTCCCTATAAATACAAATAAATATTTTATTAGCTAAAAAGACTTTTAAGCACATTCTCTTTTATAAATTATAATTAGTAATTGCTTTATTTACAGAATCAAAACACTCCACTTCCATACTTGACTTATACAGCTTATATTTCGAATTTTCTTGGTTTACTAAAGTCCTTGAGCTATGGTTCGTTCGTAATCTTGCAGGAAGTTCATATTCAGGCACTGAATGAGTGCACCTATCTCTGCTGCAAAATGTAATAGCTTCTTGTTTGCTGCACCCAATTTCCCTTAATTTCAAATATTTTAAAGCGTCTTCTACCTTTAATATAGCCTCTTTTGGAGTTAATTTATAACAGTGACCCATTTGATTTTCTGGGTGGCTTTTTCCGATTGAATCTTTTAGTTTATTTTTGGTTTTTAAAAAAATTTAAAATAAATAAATAAATTTTTAATGGAATAAAAAATAATTTTTAGTTTATTTTCTATAATTTGTGAATAATTGTGAGTAAAATTGGCATTTGTAGGGCTTACTCCCCCATTAGCGAGTGAACAAAAAAATTTTGTTTACGGAGGGGGGTTAATTTTTTGTTTTTAAAAATATTTATATATAAATTTTATAGAAAAAATTTTTTTTTCTCGAAATTTAAAAAAAAATCCTAATTCGCAAAAATTTGAAAGCAAATATTAATTTAATCTATAAAATTTATGTTTTAAAACGCAATTCGTTTAAAATTAAACAGAATCATTATACTAATTATCACTTATATATCAAATTTTTTTTCCATAAAAAATTTTCTATTAAAAAATTTTTGTTCACTCACGGAGTGGGTTTTCGAGCAAAAAATAGGGATTTTTCTAATGGTTTTGTTCACTCACGGAGGGGGGGAGTTAGTAAATCTCAAGAAGAATTTCTATGAGTTTTTGTCTGAGGAGTAGTTGGAAGAGTTGGCTTATAATGACTCATTAGCGTTGAATAAGGAAGTCCAGAATTATCATGAAATCACTTGGTAGATCCTGGTTTTTTTGCATAATGGGCTATTTCTTTGAATTTCAAGTCTTTTTTGTGGTCTAAGCTATCATTGAAATCAAAAGTTTGATACATTTTATTGAGATTTTATTAATTAATTCTCACTTGTATATAAATTATAAGGGATTTCTTCTAAAAGCTCTGGATTTTCAAAGTCTCTCAATTGAAAATTTATGAGCTCTTCAACTATCGGACTTACATTAAAATGGCGGCATGTGTCAGCTTGCTTTCTTGTGTAATCGCACAGACTTAAATGGAAATCCTTAAATTAAACTATTATTATAGCCAACACTAAAGCAAGGATCGGGCTAACAATTTCCAGTCACAGTGTAGCAGATTTCTATAAGCTCAACATTAATTAAAGAGGAAAGGCAGTTTTCTAAAACCACTAAGCTATTCTTTGCAATGCAGATAAATTTCTCATACAAAAGTCATGGCATCCGCACCACCAATATGTTCATGCCTGTCTCAAATTAACTAAGCAATTGAGCTATCGGACTCTTGTGCCATTTCCTATTCTTCTTCCATCCCATTCTAAAACAGGGTGAATTGAATCAGCGGTTGAGTAAAACATTTCTTCGCACGTTTTGGCTTCATCTATATGAATCTGCCTCTGCTCAACTGACGTCAATAATCCTCTCTCCACTACACTATTTTTTATTTTTTTATTTTTTTTACCCAATTTTTAAAAAAAAAATTAAAAAATACTGTAATTCATTTGCATGAGCAATTATTGATGGAATAGTCGTCCCTCTCAAAATATCATCAAAAGGAGGAGTCAAAAACCTCCCTCCAGGCAACACAAAGGAAATATTAGCGACTGGACCTTCTGTTATAAACCCTTCTTCATCTTTCTGCAGTCCAATTCATCCTCCTTTATCACTTGATTCCATTGCACAAAGGGCATTTAATAAATAATTAGTCGATTTCATAGTTGCTAACAATTTTGGCTTTAGAGGTATAGACGAGGTAAATTCATTTTTGTTAATGTTAATGTTAATGTTAAAGCTGAATATTTAAAGTCTCTACTTCCAGTGGCGTGCTGGCACAAGCGAATTGGGTGGACTTCCACCTCTGGTAACTCTGAGCCCAGGCCGAAACCCCTGGTTTTCTCGGTAGTGGGTTGCCCTTTTTGTGTCCGCAGACATTTGCTGGGCACCACCATTTCCAACTCAGTCCCTTCGCCCTTCGAGGCCAACTGTACCTACCCTGGCCGGTGTCGTCCACTTAATCGGGACCCTTTAACCGAGGGACCGCCTTGATTGTAAGTCTAGCCTGCCTCCCCTTTTACCAGGTCATCCCAGAGTAAAAACTCAACCACTTCCGTGATTCGGGGCAAAGCCATCTAGAGCAGCCTGAGCAGGGAAATCACCCTGCTCCATTTCGGGCACCCACTGGCTAGGGCGCTGCTGGAAAAAGGATTTGCGATTAACTGCCCAAGGATCAGGCCACAAATCAGCGGGTCTGTGTGCGTGCCCATCGCCTCTGGGCTCCTGATACTGCTGGGCCATATCACTCCTCCTGAAAACCATGCCCGGATATACATGGGTTACCGTCACACGAGAGGACGGGTCGGACGTCATACGCCATTTTATGTATATATGGTAAATTCATTTTTAATATCACTATTTCCGGTCCTTACATCTCCTGCGTAAACTATTGCATAAAAAGTCGACATCTTAGGCCATGGCATAACAGTCACAGATCCTGGCCCTGCAGAAATTCAATATCTGAGTTTGCAGAATCTCAAATTTGTAGAGGCTGCAAGCTGCTTTAAAGCGTTTCCCATTTCTTCACGTGTTAAGGGCAATTCTATCCTAGCTTGGTTAGCAGATCTTATTATTCTATCTAAATGAGCTTGCAACTTGTATGATTTTCCATCAATTACAGATAAAGTATCGAAGACTGAATGACCACGATGAGCCATGTGGTCGTCTATAGGGATACTCATTAAAGCACGGTCTTTTATAATTCCACCTAGCCGAGAGTTGTACATTGCGAGTATCTGCAAGGTAAACCCATGAGTTCAGTCATCAAGAGCTTTTAATATTGATTCGCGGCTGTCAAATATAGGAATTTTGCTCATTATATTCAATGGTATTTATTTTATTAGAACTATTAGGATATCTACTATTGAGGGCCGAAGCATATAAATCACTTTAAAAATTATTATAATTATATAATTTGTAGAAAGATGAATTATTTATTTTTGAAATTTTTGAGTATTAGTATTAAATTATTTGTATATAAGAAACAAAATTCTCAATGAATTTCCCAATTAAGATTTTTTATATAAATAACTAAGATTCAGACACTTTTAATGATTGTAGATTGCAAATTCTTTCAACAAGATAAATGCCATATAGGCTATTGCGAAGTTAGTTTAGGAAATATTTCACTTATCAGACTTTGTGGTGGCCACTCGCATGATCTCAGAGAAAACTCTGTTTCTTTGATAGTGACAAAAATATGTATATTTATTTTTGTGGCACAGGCTTTCATAGAGATCGGTTTAACCTAGAGAGTAAAACTGTTAATAATATTAATATAACATATAATATTTCATGCTGAGCTTTAGAAATCTTTTATTGAATTAGAAATTATTTTTATACCATTTTGAATTTGTATTAACTAGAGGAGAAGGAGGAGGGTTTAATAGGCTAAAAAAGCCCTTAAAATATTAAAAATTTCTTTAAAGACTTGTAATAATCTTGAAAATTTTCCATATGATTTAATAACGTCATCAAATTTACTGACTTCATCACCAATTGGTGGCATCACCATCTCTCCGGGAGACCTCTGTTACTTTTAAATTTAACGATCCAGTCGTCTCAGGTCCTACTCCAGAGGAGGAATTGGTTGAGAATGATTGTCTAGGTCTCCTTCATACCCATAACTTAACTCGAACCCTCTTAGTACCCTTTACTTTGTGAAGTCATCCTTGATATTAACTAGGAAAAAATATTAAGAGGATTTAATATAAACATGAAAGATTATTATTGCGAAGCTTATGCGAGGATGCTGAGATTTTTCTGTCAATGCATTTATAAAAAAGAAGGCTAAAAAGAAATCCCTATATAGAACTCAAAAAGAGGATATCATAGACATGAAATTTAGCAAAAACAACAGAATGATGAAAAGCTCATTGGGAAAACTTAGGAGTAATTTTATTTTTAATCGAATTGCAAATAGAGGACGAAATTTAGACAACATACCTGTAATCAAAAACCTAGTGTCTTTAAAATCACAGATGGAGATGCCGATAGAACAATACCAAAATAAAAAAGATAATAAGTTAGCTCTATTTTTTGTTTATTATTCAATCTCATTTCTAAAAGTTTAAACCAAAAACATTAATTATTAAGATATTGGCTAGAAACAGTTATAAAAGGCAGAGATCTTTTAAGCATAAAAAGCAATTGGACAACTATAGATGCAGCTTACTCTCATCCTATGCAAATTGGAAAAAATATCAGTTACTTTTAAATTTTTCCTAGGTAATAATTATAATTTTATATAATAGTTTAACTCATTTTAATGGAGTTAATGCAACTTGAATGCCGATTAAATATTTAGGAGATTGAATCGATTAATAAAATCTTCTTAAAAAATCATTTAAAACTCAAATAATATTCATTTATCCTTTTATTTAAAAATAATATTACAAGTTTTTGTTGAGCGCAAGCTGAGATTTCATTACTGCAATAATTAAATATATATCGAAAAATGTTTAATAAAAAAATATTCAAAATATTGTTGCTAGTTAACAAAGGATTATCTCCTATAGGAACTATTAATAGTTTTATTGCGACCAAGAGGAGAGGTAAGTCATTTCATAAATATGTTTGATTTTTCAACAATATTTAAAAATCACTATATTCAATAGCAATATTTGTTATCTCTTGTAAATCTATACAAGCTATGCCATCTGTAGTTATTGAGCTAATTTTTTGTCTACCACCAAGGCTTCACCTTTCTTGAAGTAGATGATCATGCAAATCTTAATTTTTATCAAATTCATATAGATTATATACTGATCATCCTCAGTGATAGCAAACTCATCAAATATCTCTGTAGATCAACTGCGAATCCTTATAATTTTATTTTCTTGGATATCCAGATTTAAATCGTGCGATCTATTAAGCCTAAAAGGAATTCCATATTGCCTGCATAAGGCGTGTGGTAGTGTCAGAAGGAAGTATTGAGCGGTTTCTATACCCTGGGCACTATCGGCCGCTCGTCCTGAGTAAGATCAAAGCAGTATTGGGGAGTTTTCCCGACATCACGAATTTTGGTGGCACCGTCAGAAAAATCGTCGTTATGTGTGATCATATTTTAGGGTCATCTGAGCCTGATATGGACTTAAATAATCCCATTACAATTTAATCTATCCTTAATCCTTAAAATTGCAAAATCGAAATATTTGAAAAAGGCAGAAGTGCATCTAATCTCCTACCAAAATTAGAAACCTAATTATATGCTTATTTGCTATATCTAAGAAATTTTTCGAAGCCTATAGATCCCTTAAAATATTGTTTAAAATTTCTTCTTAGAATTTTTAGGATTGTTTAAATTTTGTTGAAAATGTATAGCTGGTGCTTAAATAGCTCCACTTTAATTAAAATTTTATAAAAGGTTTTTTTATTTTAATTGATGAATTTTTTTATAGGGTGTTAGGGTGTTAGGGGTTAGGGTGTTAGGGTGTTAGGGGTGTTAGGGTGTTAGGGTGTTAGGGTGTTAGGGTGTTAGGGTGTTAGGGTGTTAGGGTGTTAGGGTGTTAGGGTGTTAGGGTGTTAGGGTGTTAGGGTGTTAGGGTGTTAGGGTGTTAGGGTGTTAGGGTGTTAGGGTGTTAGGGTGTTAGGGGTGTTAGGGTGTTAGGGTGTTAGGGTGTTAGGGTGTTAGGGTGTTAGGGTGTTAGGGTGTTAGGGTGTTAGGGTGTTAGGGTGTTAGGGTGTTAGGGTGTTAGGGTGTTAGGGTGTTAGGGTGTTAGGGGTGTTAGGGGTGTGTAGGGTGGTTAGGGTGTTAGGGTGTTAGGGTGTTAGGGTGTTAGGGTGTTAGGGTGTTAGGGTGTTAGGGTGTTAGGGTGTTAGGGTGTTAGGGGTGTTAGGGTGTTAGGGTGTTAGGGTGTTAGGGTGTTAGGGTGTTAGGGTGTTAGGGTGTTAGGGTGTTAGGGTGTTAGGGTGTTAGGGTGTTAGGGTGTTAGGGTGTTAGGGTGTTAGGGTGTTAGGGTGTTAGGGTGTTAGGGTGTTAGGGTGTTAGGGTGTTAGGGGTGTTAGGGTGTTAGGGGTGTTAGGGTGTTAGGGTGTTAGGGTGTTAGGGTGTTTGGGGTGGTTAGGGTGTTAGGGTGTTAGGGTGTTAGGGTGTTAGGGTGTTAGGGTGTTAGGGTGTTAGGGTGTTAGGGTGTTAGGGTGTTAGGGTGTTAGGGTGTTAGGGTGTTAGGGTGTTAGGGTGTTAGGGTGTTAGGGTGTTAGGGGTGTTAGGGTGTTAGGGTGTTAGGGTGTTAGGGTGTTAGGGTGTTTAGGGTGTTAGGGTGTTAGGGTGTTAGGGTGTTAGGGTGTTAGGGTGTTAGGGTGTTAGGGTGTTAGGGTGTTAGGGTGTTAGGGTGTTAGGGGTGTTAGGGTGTTAGGGTGTTAGGGTGTTAGGGTGTTAGGGTGTTAGGGTGTTAGGGTGTTAGGGTGTTAGGGTGTTAGGGTGTTAGGGTGTTAGGGTGTTAGGGTGTTAGGGTGTTAGGGTGTTAGGGTGTTAGGGTGTTAGGGTGTTAGGGTGTTAGGGTGTTAGGGTGTTAGGGTGTTAGGGTGTTAGGGTGTTAGGGTGTTAGGGTGTTAGGGTGTTAGGGTGTTAGGGTGTTAGGGTGTTAGGGTGTTAGGGTGTTAGGGGTTAGGGTGTTAGGGTGTTAGGGTGTTAGGGTGTTAGGGTGTTAGGGTGTTAGGGTGTTAGGGTGTGTTAGGTGTTAGGTGTTAGGGTGTTAGGGTGTTAGGGTGTTAGGGTGTTAGGGTGTTAGGGTGTTGGGTGTTAGGGTGTTAGGGTGTTAGGGTGTTAGGGTGTTAGGGTGTTAGGGTGTTAGGGTGTTAGGGTGTTAGGGTGTTAGGGGTGTTAGGGTGTTAGGGTGTTAGGGTGTTAGGGGTGTTAGGGTGTTAGGGTGTTAGGGTGTTAGGGTGTTAGGGTGTTAGGGTGTTAGGGTGTTAGGGTGTTAGGGTGGTTAGGGTGTTAGGGTGTTAGGGTGTTAGGGTGTTAGGGTGTTAGGGTGTTAGGGTGTTAGGGTGTTAGGGTGTTAGGGTGTTAGGGTGTTAGGGTGTTAGGGTGTTAGGGTGTTAGGGTGTTAGGGTGTTAGGGTTGTTAGGGTGTTAGGGTGTTAGGGTGTTAGGGTGTTAGGGTGTTAGGGTGTTAGGGTGTTAGGGTGTTTGGGTGTTAGGGTGTTAGGGTGTTAGGGGTGTTAGGGTGTTAGGGTGTTAGGGGTGTGGGGTGTTAGGGTGTTAGGGTGTTAGGGGTGTTAGGGTGTTAGGGTGTTAGGGTGTTAGGGTGTTAGGGTGTTAGGGGTGTTAGGGTGTTAGGGTGTTAGGGTGTTAGGGTGTTAGGGTTGGTTAGGGTGTTAGGGTGTTAGGGTGTTAGGGTGTTAGGGTGTTGGGTGTTAGGGTGTTAGGGTGTTAGGGTGTTAGGGTGTTGGGTGTTAGGGTGTTAGGGGTTGGGTGTTAGGGTGTTAGGGTGTTGGGTGTTAGGGTGTTAGGGTGTTTGGGTGTTAGGGGTTAGGGTGTTAGGGTGTTAGGGTGTTGGGTGTAGGGTGTTAGGGTGTTAGGGGTGTAGGGTGTGTTAGGGTGTTAGGGTGTGGGTGTTGGGTGTTAGGGTGTTAGGGTTGGGGTTAGGGTGTTAGGGTGGTTAGGGTGTTAGGGTGTTAGGGTGTTAGGGGTGTTGGGTGTTAGGGTGTTAGGGTGTTTGGGTGTTAGGGTGTTAGGGTGTTAGGGTGTTAGGGTGTTAGGGTGTTAGGGTGTTAGGGTGTTAGGGTGTTAGGGTGTTAGGGTGTTAGGGTGTTAGGGTGTTAGGGTGTTAGGGTGTTAGGGTGTTAGGGTGTTAGGGTGTTAGGGTGTTAGGGTGTTAGGGGGTGTTAGGGTGTTAGGGTGTTAGGGTGTTAGGGTGTTAGGGTGGTTAGGGTGTTAGGGTGTTAGGGTGTTGGTGTTAGGGTGTTGGGTGTTAGGGTGTTAGGGTGTTAGGGTGTTAGGGTGTGGGGTTAGGGTGTTAGGGTGTTTGGGTGTTAGGGGTGTTAGTGGTGTTAGGGTGTTAGGGGTGTTAGGGGGTTA